GTAGCAGTTTAATATAGTGTACTTCAGTGCAAGTAAAATGTATTACAAGTGCATGTCAAATGTAATACAGGTACAAGTAAATTGACACTGAGCATCAATACTAAGTGCACCTAACATTATAACTAGGTGCACCTAACGTTATAATTAGTTGCACCTAAGGTTCACGAATGTTAACAAGGTAAATTACTTGCACTTTTTACTTACAAAGGCGCATCAGCTACCGCAAATTATGCAGTGCAACCGAATGCACCTTGCAAGGTGCATACGGTTGCAAAACGACGCCGTTTTGGTTAAAAAAACGCGCGTCCCACTTAAAGAAGAAATCAGGTTCGATTCCCGGCAATAACATTTTTATATATCCAGAAATTCGTAACTATATATCCAGAAATTCATAACTATATATCCACAGTGAATGAATGAAGTAAAAATCCACAATGAATGAATGAATGAAGTAAAAATCCATAATGAATGAATGAATGAAGTAAAAATCCACAATGAATGAACTAAATATCCACAATGAATGAACTAAATATCCGCAATGATTGAACTAAATATCCATAAATTCATAACTATATATCCAGAAATTCATAACTATATATCCACAGTGAATGAATGAAGTAAATATCTACAATGAATGAACTAAATATCCACAATGAATGAACTAAATATCCATAAATTCATAACTATATATCCACAAATTTATAACTATATATCCAGAAATTCATAACTATATATCTACAATAATGCTATTGTCGAGAATCGAACCTGAATTTTTTTTTAAGTGGGACGCGCGTTTTTAGTCAAAACGGCGTCGTTTTGCGTCGTATGCACCATGCGCATGGTACATTCGGTTGCACGGCATAACTATTGATCAGCTACCTGCACTTATAACACATTTACTTGTACCACAGTTTGAGTTATTTACAAAATTGTCACCGCGTTGTTTTTTTAAAATTACATCTGATTCGTTGACATGGACACGTGGACGGATGCGAGTGGTTCTTATTTCTCTCTTGGGCGACCGTTCGATTAGAGTGTGCCCATATATGTGTGTTTGTGTTATTCTTTAAGATTATATTTGTTATACAGATGAATTTTTTTGTATTTTTAAAAATCATAAAGGGAGTGTTTGGTATATAGCTATTAGCTGATTAGGTTGGTGAGTTTTATTAGTTGATAGCATTAGCTGATTGTAGAAAGATATTTGGTAAATTAGCGGTTAGCTGATAGCTAATTGCATGCAAAATAATTTTTCTAAAAAATGCTGATTGAAAAAGTTGTTTTGAACATCTTTTTGAATTTTAACATTTTAGAGTAATAAACTTTTACAAAAAGTTAATTATCAAATATTTATATTGAATATTTAATTAAGACAAATCGCAAATTATGATCAAATAAATCGAAATCGAAATTAAATGATAAAGTAACTATATTACTAAACAAGGTCAAAATATTTTTTTTTTAAAAGAAGCTTTTTTGGCGGCCTTGGGAACTGGGTAGGTGGTCCCTGCGTGCCGCACGCGCACTGCGAGTGGTTTCCAGTCGTTGACTTTGTCATTATCTCAAAATTTAATTCCAAATTTCAAACCCAAAGAAAAGGGTCAAAAATCAAAATATCAAGCAAAGGATAACATAAGGATTCCACCAACCCTTTCCTCCACTCTCCCACCGACTCTTTCACCTTTTTACATACATATATAATTATATACATACATTTTCTTTGTTAATTAATTCCATTTAAAAAAATAATAATAATTTGTTGGTGGGAACTGAATTGACTGATTGAAATTAATTGTTTTCTGAATGCTCCTCCAGTTCCGTATAAAAATGGTTTTTCTTGTATTGTCAGTATTAGGAGACTTATTTCACTTGATTAGGACTTCCCCTTCCAAAAACAAATCATTTTTCTTTTTTAGGTAGAGGATTAATTAAATCATGCCACCATTATTTTTGGTCGGTTTTATATTTAAAGGATATCCCTCACTAAAGGTATTTATAGCTCATGCATACACTTCATTTACTCAAAAGAATGACTTGAATTGATGAATAAAAAATTGTTAGATATTAATGACTTATTGGATATGACGTATTACGTGGGTGTTTGCTTCATCCCACTCATTCCACTTTGATTAGTGGTCAGTAATATCGAAGGTCTTTTTTTAAATTTATAAAGTAGTCGGTAAGTTAGTCGAAACTTTATTTTCGACTAGATAAAAATAATAGTTTTTTTGTGTAGGTCTAGACAAAGGTCTTCAATTCATCCTTTCTTCGTCTAGTGCTTCTATGGGGTTCTCTAGTGATAGTAGCTTCATTCATTCCCATACCTTTTTCTCATTTATCTTCCATTGGCGCTTTCTTCAGGGTCTTTTTTTTTTTGGATTTTACACAAAATTTGTCAACTATGTCTAATAAAATCATTAAACATAAAATATGTGCAATTAAAACATCAAACGTTTAAAAGTTAATATTTTTCCAATTAATTACTGGCTAAACCAGTAACATTACTTAGGTGTCATATTATTTGACATATTTTATAATATTCGGCACCTACATGGAGAGTACAGGCACCTCATTATGACTTGAATATTGTATTAATATTAATTAGACTAATTAAATAAAACCCTAAATCCCAACCTTTTTTTCTTTCACGGCAATGGTAACTAATGAAGCTGTTGGAAGGCATGAAGGCTTTTCTTTTTCTTCTCAAAGTTTTCTTTTTTGAAGTTGAAAGGTTTATTCTTCTTCTTAAAGTTTCCTTCTCAATATGCTATATCAATTGGATAAGATTATTGTTATGCTGCGGTAGAAAATTTACTGTGATTCTTGAATACCATAAGTATTGCACTTTATGTATACTTAGAGAACCGCTACAATTACCAGGACTATGTGGTCTAATGGTACCCGGGTTGGACTTCCATTTGGAAGATTATGAGTTCGAGCCTCAGCGGAGGCGTTATTGGTTCTTTGTGTTTCAGTAGGTTGAGAAAGTATATGAACAGATACTACAATGTAATAGAACCAGTAACTTTTCAAAAAAAAAAAAAAAAAAAAGAGAACCGCTACAATTATTAAAAATACAAAATATAATAATAAAAAAAACCTTACACATATATACACGTACAAATCATAACCCTTTGCAAAAATTAATTACTGACCAGTTGAAAATAAGGTAGAAATGGATAGGAGATTAAATCATTTGACGAACCATTGTAAAACATTCTTAATTACTTTACAGGCACACTTACTTTATACTCCGTAGTATGCATTCACCAATGACCTTGGCAATTCTAACAAAACTTTTAAAACTTTAGCAAAACTAAGCAAGCAAATTAAAACACTTGTGCTTTAATTTTTCAAATATTAAAATGATTTAAATATCTAACTTGTTTGGGGCTAACAAATAGTTGAGTACCAAAGCTAATCAAATTTGAAGTAGTGAATCAAAAGTACGTACTTTAAAAAAAAAAAAAAAAAACGTCCTACTCATCATGGAGGAAGAAATGGAATTTATTTTATATGATAACTAATTAACTATATTGGATTCCAATTAATTCTAAATCAAGCCATCTTTATGTCCTATTTAGGTGAGTTTTTAAAAATTTGTAGTTTTTTTTTTTTTGAAGAGAAAATTTAATTCATTAAATCAGTAGAAAGACAATCAACAAGAAAAAGAGGATTGTCAAACCACTCCCCGTAACCTGACATAGAAATGACTTCCTTAGCAATAATAATACGTGTGGGCAACACAATTCGTATATCGCTTAATAAAACAGAAGTGTACATCATTTATCGGGGAGATTTATTTACAACATTGTACTCAAATTAAGATAAATTTTATTCTAAAAGAAATAAGTAAAGTTTTTGAATAATATTGTATTAGATCAGAGTTATACAACCGACTACTTTTTACTTCATTTTTAATGCTCTAGTAACGTGAAATGTTATTGATTTAGAGAGAAAAAAAAAAAAGGAGGGGGGGGGGGGGGGTTAATTATAATTTTTATTATTTAATTTGTTCCTATTCCAATAAAATTGAGACCATTACGAAATATTTGGAAGCACACTTGTCATTTTACATAGGTTATGATCTCATCTAAGGATTGTTAGATGAAAAGTTCAGTGTAAGTATAGCAAGTTGAGTCGATCGCACTAAAAGAAATGCCTAATCATAACGCAATGCCGATGTTTGACTTCACTTATTGTGTGAGCTAAAAATACAAATTGACAATTACCAGGAATTGAGTCTTACCATTCTCTCAAAATGATTGACTCTTCGTGCACAGTAAGTAAATATTTAGTCTCCATATTCAGCTGAGTTACCATAATTTATATCTTCTGAGATGCTCTGTCGAGTTGGGACGGGGTCTTTGGATTGGGGATTCGAACAACAAAAATACAAAGGAATAAGGGTCAAATAGGCCATCGAACTGCACCCGGTAAAACAATTAGGCCACTGAACTTAAAAAACCAACAATTAGGTCCCTAAACTAATCAATTTCAAACAATTTTTCCAATTTAAAGGTTTCAAACAGGTCAACAGGTCATCCTTCCAAATTAATTATTTTTTAAATTTTAAATTTTAAAAATTAATTAGTTTTAAATTAAACTAAAAAAAAAAAAAAAAAAAAAAAAAAAAAACTGGTTCCGGCTGGATTCCAGTTTTTTTTTTTAGTTTAATTTAAAACTAATTAATTTTTTAAAAAAATAATTAATTTGGGAGATGACCTGTTGACCTGTTGGAAACCTTCCAATTGGAAGAATTGTTTGAAATTGATTAGTTTAAGGACCTAATTGTTGGTTTTTTAGGTTCAGTGGCCTAATTGTTTTATCGTGTGCAGTTTGATGACTTATTTGACCCTTATTCCAAATACAAATTAAAACGATTTCCAAAATGACTTTTCATTGTGCTATGAAAACCCTAATGTGAAATGAAAAGTCAAATCAGGCCAATTCACGAATTTCTTCAACTTAGCGTTACTATAAATACTCTCATCCAGCGCTTTGATTTCATTTTACAAAGCCAAATCCCCAAGATTGATCGACAAGATAATAAGAATCCTTCACCCACACCACATAAAATAAAAAAGGAGAACAAAAAGTATAAAATACTATATATTATTATCAGCTTGGAATTGAAGAATTAAAGATTATCAGAGAAGAATCCATGGCAGAAGAATTTCAACTTGGGAGTGGAAATTGGTGGGAATCATCATCATCATCATCATCAAGATTAAATCACCGGTTTGAGAGCAGTAGTGGATCGTCTTCATCATCAACGGCAGCAATATCATCAACCCAGAATGATGTTAGCATGGAAAGCAGCGGCTTTATTGGGTGCTGGCCGACACACCTTATAGTGGACTCCAAACCTAAATCTTCCTTGGATTCCGTGTCGGCTGCCGGCGGCGGCGGCGACGCTGCTCTTTTGTCTCATCACGGTTTCCACAACATCATGGGTTTAGGTCTTTCTCCCCAACAAATACCCTGCTGGAATAATAATAATATTCCTTCTTTATTGTAAGCCAGGCCACTTATCTTATCTTCTACTCATCGATCATCATCGGATTTTTTTTTTTTTTTTTTTTTTTTTTGTTGATTTTGTTTTTTTTTGGGTTTTAGTAGCTCGAACGCGAACGCGAGTTTTCAGCAGGATTGTTCGTCCTCGTACGATTACGACAAGCAAATGAACCGGCTTTCGCTAGATCAACCTCAACCAACGCCGCCGCTGTCGTCTCTCGAGGGTTCAACCGCCAGCTCCGACTTGGATAGAACCGCTTCCGCGGTTCTGCAACCTGAATCGTCGCCAATGAATTTTTCTTATGATGTTTCACAAAATTATGGGATGAAACCAGGCGGCGGCGGCGGCGCCGTCATCGGCGACATCACGTCTCCCACGTGGTCCAAGTTTCCTCAGTTTCTCCGACCTAGGCAGCCGCAGTTCTCCAACAACACAACCTTCTGGAACGCCGCTATGAACGACGACGACGCACAGTTCAGCCTCTTCCCCGTCGATGAAAAACCAAAGGTTATTAGAACTTGCATGACACTATACAACATCTCATTTGATCTGTTTCCTCTATAATTGTTGGACAGTGACTCAGAGGGTCGAGTCTAGCATCTGCTAAAAAATAAAATAATGTATTAATTATTGACTTATTAAATGTTTGATTTGATAATTGGTATCAGAGCAGTTTATAATTACTGTAATTTCTGGGAACAGAATATATCAGCAGGCCAGCGAGATTCAAGTACGGCAACGAAGACGGCGGGCTGTACGGAAACGTCAAGCAAAAGGCCGCGCGATCAGAACGACACGGCGACACCCATGCCAGCTTTTAAGGTATGTAGGTTAATTGTCGGAGAGCTAGCTTTTAGACAGATAATCTATCAAGATTAATTGGGTGATTAAGTTGATGGAATAATTGAGTTTAATCGATGGCAATTAGGTACGGAAAGAGAAGATGGGGGACAGAATCACAGCACTCCAACAATTAATTTCTCCTTTTGGAAAGGTAAAACAATACACATCCATTTTTAAGTTTTAACTTTGTGAGTAATATGGCAATAAGGTGATCGAGAGGTGATTAACTTTATTAATTATGTTTTAGTGTCAGGCTAATTAAAGTTTTTTTTTTTTTTTTTTTTTTTTTATAAGACTGACACAGCTTCTGTGCTCTCCGAGGCCATTGAATACATCAAGTTCCTCCATGATCAAGTCAATGTAAATTTGACACTACTTATAATTATTATTTTGAAAATTTTCTGTTAGAGTTCATATATTAAAACAACCTATGAGTAATTGAATTCTCATGAATTTGGTGTTCCTGTGGAAAATTGCAGGTCTTGAGCACACCATACTTGAAGAGTGGAGCTTCCATGCGGCATCAACTGGTAAGGAAATGTTCTAGTTCCATTCTACTATACATCTTTTTGGGCGGAGGCCGGTGAAAGGCCACCCAAGTTCAATATCAGGTGGCCGGAAAGGGCGAAGGTCTAGCCTGAAAGGTCAAATTCAGCATCTTACCTCTAAAAAATGTGGCAGTATAAGAAAATAAAATTACACATGCGTTACTAATTATTACTTTAGGCGTAGTGATACACATTTGATCCTAACACATTTCAATCTACTCTAATTCACTTTTTTCATAACTCCATTTTAGTTACAAGCATAATTTAATTAGTCCATGGACTTTGCAAATTACTCTGTGAATCCGGGTCCAAATGTTTCACAATTTAGCTTTTAAAAATTCACAATTTGTATACTATGAACACATAATGTTAACATATATGTAATTGATCGATTACATTATTTTGTATTCATAAGTTCTTTTCAAATAATGCAGTCACACAATATTAACAGATTATGATTTGATGACCCTGTATTGTATTCACAGATTTCATTCTACAGTTGTTATGGGTTTTGACTTAGAAACACAATTTATATCGATGCAGAATTTCGAGAAATCCAAGAATCCAGAAACAGCAAGCGGGCAAGATCTTAGGAGTCGGGGATTGTGTTTGGTGCCGATATCCAGCACGATGACCTTCCCTCTCACACCAACGTTTGGTGGATGTTTTAGATAAGAGGGACGACAACAACACTACAATTCTTGTTATATTATATGAGTTCTCAATCTCACTAACTATGATTACTGATCGTTACATGATTATTACACTGTAAATGCAATGTATACTCTATATTATAACGATAATTAGATACTGATATGATATCTAAACATCATTATAATAAAGAGTATACAAGTGAGTACAAAACACAAAATTAATATGTGTTAATTCTAGCATGTGCTCTGACTCGTGTAATAAATTTTTTTTGGTTATAAGTGGAGGTAGGAATGATGAGGATGATAAGAAAGGAAAAAGGTGATCGGGCCGGGGCACCGTACAATCAGCAGTGCTGGTAGTACTAGTCCATACAGGTCCAGATGATGATGAGAAGGGGAAAGTAAAAAAGAAAGAAAGGGAAAGGGAAAGGAAATGTGGCTTTAGAGGACAGGTGATTGTAGTGCCAGCTACAGGCAAAATCATACAACTTTGGCAAATATTAGGGACCATATATATATATATATATATATATATATATATATATATATATCTCGTAGTTGCAAATGTAGCCATGTATGTAATACTTCAAGAATTATATGATTAAAGCTGCAGGTGTGTTAAGGATATAGAGCAATTAATTGATTTCATTATATCAGTTACATACATACTATGGATGATAAATCTTAGATAAGACTTGTTTTTAGCGATAGGATGAGAGTTTGATTGTTGTCACGAACCTTTTTATGAGTTTGAAAACAGATTCATAAGGTTTAGAATATAGTCCGGTGAAGTGAAAAAAACAAAAAAAAAAAAAAACAAAAAAGTAATGGAATTCAAGAACAAGGGTGTTGGGGGGAAATGATTTGATTATAAGAAATATGACTTTTTGATATGTTTATGTGTTTGGAATAAGTTAGTGGAAGTCGGAGGTGAGGTCGGGGTGGCCCATGCCACAGGCCACCATCTTTTTAGGGTGTATATATTATTGTATTAATTTTATTTTTTATAATTTCCTGTTTAATATTCTTTAAAATTATCATGAATAAGAAATGGAAGGGTGTAGGTGAAGGAGCTATCAACCATGCTTTTTGTGCTTTTTATCGAGTGGTCACGTTGAACTGCTTCCATTGGAAGGCATCTTTTTAATACTTTGTTGCATACATTTCCCAAATTAAACTAGCACAAATTTATTCCACATTTTTGCACCTTTCCATTGTTTTTATTTCCATATTATAATCATACAATTGCGTTCTTAAATCTTAACTCATTAACTAAGCATTATTTTATATTATCAAGTCACGAGATTTGAAAATATCTTAATATGAATACAAAGTTAAGTGTAGATATTAACTTATAAGTAGTAACACATTTACTTAGCTTCAATTTATTATCATATTTTGTTTGTGTAGTATATTTGTACATTTGAAAATCTTAACGTACTTAGACAGAAAATCTTTTTTTTTTTTTTTTTTTTACCTCTTCTCCATAGGTTTTCGCTCTAATACGTAATGGTATGAACAAAGACCTAACTATTCGATCTAGTTCATGTACTTAACTCGAATATTATATATTGTCTAAATTTTCATCAATAGTCTATGTGAGACACATCACTATTTATATTAAAAATGATCATTAGAAATGGTCTGCTCTGCACGAGTAACTCAATTGGTTCATAAGTAACAAATTGTAAGTAAAAACGTAAAATAGAATCCTGAGGATCGCAATGTGGGTGTTACACAGAATGTAGTGGGTTCTAGTCAGTAAGTCACTGTGATTACCAACTTCACAAATCTTATCGGGTCCCAAGACGACTGATCTCGTCTTTTGTGGGCAAGATAGGAAGGGTGTAAGTCCGATATGATGTATGCCAAATCTAATAGCATCTAAAGATGTGGGGTAATCATCGTTAGGATTGTGAAGAGCCTAATCTAATGTTGCAAATGCCTGATACCAAGTGTTTTCTTAGATATTGTTTGGTTATTCTGTTTGTGCATGCATGAAAGAGAATAATTCTTGAAATCAAATTTACTGTTCAATTACCATTAGAGAGTTGTCAAGAGCTTTCAAAGAAGACAAATCTTGGACACAAGATATATGCTTGTTGTCTTGGAAAAAAAATCATAAGCTCTTTTTTTCTTCCTCATTTTTATTTCATTGTTCAAAAGTAGGAGAAGAAAAGAGTAATGAGTTTTATAATTACTTAAAGATTTGAATCCTACTCTATGATAACAAAAATATGCAAACAAATACAATAATAGATTATTGATAGTATGGTCTTCAGAATGGTACAGTCTCACGCCATATGGTCTCCTTCTTCAGGATATTAATTAGCTAGTTTTTACTTGTCTTCTTTTGCAAATGTGTACTTTCATTTTGTTAAGCGCTCAACTAATGTTGTTGCTCACTTATTGGCTCGAGATGCTAGTTTGTCTTCAGGTAGTCGGGTTTGGTTAGATATCGCCCCCTCGTTTGTTTCTAATAATACGGTGTGTAATGACTTGATGCTTATATAATAATTTTGGTGTGTTTTGTTAAAAAAAAAAAAAAAAGTATCAAGTTTCATAATACGATATAAAAGTCTCCAATCAAACATAATCTAAATAATCTAAATATATATTGCACCCCAATTTCAAAAGCAGCTATTACTCTAAACAGTTGATAAATAAAATTAATCGCAGTTAAACATTGCTCCAATAGAAAATTAAAATATTTTTAGTGATGAAACAAATAAACAAAGAAAAAAAAAGTTTTCGTTGATGTGAAAACAAAATTAAAAAGAGATCCCAAAACACTCACACGCTTCATTCTTCATATGACATAATGTGTGTATAATGTGGATGTTTAGGTTTTTAAATTGAGCAAATTTCATTTTTAGTCCATTAACATTGTAGTATTATTAAATTTAATTATAATTTTTAAATTTTAACTTTTGATTTTCATTTGTTTGTCACAATTATTTTTTTATTTAAAATTTTGTCATTCCATTTTTCTCCTAACATATAATTTTCTCCTTTTTTCGTAAACTATATATTTTAATTAAATGATTGAGTGATAAAAATTTAAGTGCAAAACTAATTGTGGTAAATAAATAAAAATTAAGAATGTAATGAAACAAAATAAAAATAGTAAAATTAAAGGTGACAATACCATAATAGTTGATGACTAAAATTAAAATTTCCTCTTTTTAATTTGTCCTGAACTATTTATAAATTAATGTATAAAATAATAATAATAATAATAATAATAATAATAATAATAATAATATAATAATAATAATAATAATAATAAGATAAAAATTTATTTATATGAAAATTTTGCTTGCATTTAATTTTTAAATTAAATCGAACCATAATTTCATTGTTTTGTTATTGTTATTGTATATATACATAAAGGCTTTAATTTCTTGTGTCATCAAAATGGCCTCCCAATCTGTGAATTGAAGTTCTTCCTTCATATAATACTGGAAATGGCAACTTACTCCCTAACAATGTTCTAACATCTAGACTCTCTTTCTTTTCCAACAAATTACATAAAATGATTATTATGAATCTAAAGGTTTTTCTTTTAAAAAAAAATTTAAAAAACATATTTATTGCAAACATAAAGAATATAATAAAACAAAGATAGAAAGTGACAAAGACATGACCTTCCAAAAAAAAGGCATAAACATGTAACAAAACCAACTAAGAATAAGATTTTCTTTTGTATTTTTTCTTTTCTTAACTAAAGGAAAAGAAGAATTATAGTAATATTGGGAAGATAATCTCATCCGCTCTCCAACGTCATCATACACGTCTTCAAAAACTACATCAATTGTCCACTCCCAAGATGATCGAGGAATAATGTGAATTATCATTCAAATGACTTGAACTAATCTAAAAACATAATAAGTTCCAATCCAGGTTATACCCCTGATTTTTGTCCCTTTTTTCTGTTAAATTTTTTTTTGTACCTTATGCTATAAAAGTTGTACTACATAATTTTTTGGACAAAAATATCCCTGCCGTTATAACTTCTGTTATCTTTCCACACTATTATTACTATGTACATGCATACACAATAATTTTTTTCTTACATCCTTCAATGGTAAGTTTTAATTCATTTATGTTACCATAGTTATATATAGTAATTTATCATACAATTATATATACAATTCATACAATTATATATATATATATATATATATATATATATATATATATATATATATATATATACACACACACACACACACACTATTATTTAAAAAAAAAAAAGATATATAACTAAGATTTTAATATTTAATTTTAATATTGGGCATATATTTTTTACGCATCGCGCATATAAAATACTAGTAATATCAATATATTCCAACTAATCGCTACAAGCCTGGCCTTATCCCTAACTGTGACATTGTTCACTAGAAGCTAAGGTTAGGGAAAGAATTTAAAGTAAAAGTATTATCACCAACAAGGACGGATCAAGAAAATCATCTGAGTGAGCGAAGTTTAAATAACATTAAAAATGGTAATGACAGAATATCAAACAACCATAATATGGTTAAAATACAAAATACATTATAAATTACAATAGAATATTTTTGATAAATTACATGATAGTTAAGGTCGGAGCAAAAAATATACTTGAGTGGAGTGAAAATGTGAAAATGTGAAAATATTTATGACAAAATATGAAACATAATCAATTAAAAAAAATAATTTAAATAACACTATATTCAGATGACATGTAGTGACCTCTCCTATATGGGAGGTCATGAGATCGAGCCTCAGTGGATGCGTTGTTGACTTTTTGTGCTTCAATAGGTTGAGAAAGCATGTTTGAACAGATATTTGTTGTGCTTCAATAGGTTGAGAAAGTATGTTTGAACAGATACTACAATGTAACAGAGTCAGTAGCATTAAAAAAAAAATATTCATAAATACTTTTTAATTTTAATTCTTTTAGTTAGATCAACTTTAAGTTTTTCTAAATTAATTCGAATACAATGAAGTATAATATAATAGTATATACTACATTAGTTAACTGATTCATAAAAAGTATACTAAAAGACCATTATTTAATTTGTTAATTAAATGATTCATAAAAAGTAAACTAAAAAATATTTAATTTATCTTGTGAAGGAATGAAAGAGATAAAATAAACGAGAGAAGATAAGTACAAGTACGTAATATTGCAAATGAGATTTGGACGTGTGATGACATAAGCTTTTTAACATCAAGTTTGGAGTTCAACCAATTAATCTACTCAAACTATTAGTAATTTAAACATAAATATAGGTTTTATATAAAATTTAATGTTATATATGTTATATACATATATATATAAAGAGGTGGGGTGGGGTGGGACGACTGCCCACAGTGACTTCGTCTCTGATCACCAATATTCTAAACAATTTCACAACTATGTTGGTGTGTCATCATCTGCAGCTGCTTGGTGCCACCATTTTTCGAAACTAAGCTACCATTAGTTTTTTTGTTGAGCTTTACACGCTTCATACTCCTCTTAAATCTTGAATGAACACCTAATTTAACCTTACAACGACTTTGCCTACTAGGATGAGAACCTAAGAAAAAGATTTGTTTCTCAAATCCCCCTCCTCAAACTACATACTTCAATTCTATAGACTGCAACACACATTCAGAACTTAACTCTCTGAACTACACTCAACACCATTCAAGGTTTTCTAATCACCAATTATAAAGTCAACACACAATGCTCCACGTCTACCACTAAAAGTTGTTTCTAACAACTAGATTTCATTATTTTCATTGTTGTCTTATTCAAGAAAATCTATTAACCAAATCATACTCCTCACTCCCTACATATAATTGTGACAATATAATTCTCAAGTTTAGTCAATATAAGTAAATCAAACATCACATCTTTTATTTTCAACACATTTTTTCAATTGATGCGACTATTACTAAAGGTAGGTTTAATATCCGGAAACAATAATTTTCATTAAAAAAAAAAAAACATGTTTCTTATCCTTGTTTTCAATTTAGAATTGAAAATAATTTTTTTTTTTTTTTCATTTTTCTCAACTTGACAAAGAATTTGATTGGGAAATTAAACACGTTTTTTTTTTTTTTTTTGTTATTTTTCAAATGTAAAAATAATCGTAACTCCACTTATGATTGATTACCTCTTACATGAATTTTCTTTTTCCTCTACCAAGACTCGATCATGTGTCCTTGCACACAATTTACCACTCAAGAACAAACTGACTTACTTGTGTGAACAGGGGCGGATCTACAGTGGGGGCAGCTGCCCCCACTCACCCCACCCCCACCCCTACCCCTACCCCTATATAACTCTTGTATATATATATATATATATATATATATATATATATATATATATATATATATATAGTACAATATTTAGTATAAGTAAATAAAACAGGTAATATTAACAAATTGTTAGTTAGCTTAGATGGCAGAGCATGTTCCTTTACTTGGGGAAGGTCAAGGGTTCAAATCTTATATTGTATTTACACCACATTAGGCTTTCAAAATATATGTATATACTTTTATATTAATAATAAGATGTGTAATTTATAATGTGTTTTTCATTAATAATAAGATGTATAATTTATAATGTGTTTTCTATTAAAATTATTTTATCAAATTAATTATGTTTTATATTTTATTATAAATATATATTTTTTATTTTTCGCTCATATCTAACCATATTTATGACCAACTTCAGATGTGTAATTTATAATGTGTTTTTTATTAATAATAAAATATGTAATTTATAATGTGTTTTATATTAGAATTATTGTATCAAATTAATTACGTTTCATATTTTGTTTATTTTTCACTCATATCTAACAATATTAATGGCTAACTTTTTAATTGTTTTATTCTTTTTTAAGTTATACATTTTATTTTAATGTTTCGCCCCCACTGAACAAAATTTTTGTATCCGCCACTGCGTGCGAACTTCAATATAACTTACTTGTATTTAGGATTAGATGTTATTATTTGCACCCATCCCGAACTTGTTTGAATATATTTTAAAAGATTTAATACCCAAAATCGTCCTCGACTATAGTGGTTTTTTTCAATTTCGTCCTAAACGACTTTGGTGACCTAATATCGTCCTAGACTTTTGTGTTTCGCTCAATTTAGTCCTCCATTTGTTATTCAGTCAAATTGGTGTTAAATAAAGGGACAATTCAGTAATGTCAATATTGATATCTCTTTACTTTCAACTTGTGAAGTGCGAAATTCCTCTTTCTTGTACGAATTACACCCAGAATTACTCCCAGACCTGCAAATTAAATTTTATATTCGCAGTTTTAGGAGTAATTCTGGAAGTAATTCTTAAAAAAAAAAAAAAAGATTTCGCAGTTCACATGTCTATGAGTAAAGAGATGCCAATATTAAAATTACTGAATTGTCTATTTATTTAATACCAAATGGACAAAGTAACAAATGAGGGACTAAATTGAGCAAAAATACAAAAGTCTGGGACTAAATTGAGCGAAACACAAAAGTCTAGGACGATATTAGGTCACCAAAGTCGTTTAGGACGAAATTGAGAAAAATCACTATAGTCGAGGACGATTTTGGGTATTAACTCTATTTTAAAATATACACATAAGAATTTCCTACTACTCAAATACGTGAAAAGTATTATTTTTTCTACTTGAATTGAACCCATCTCACATCCGATTATCAATCACCCGAAACTGTCCGATTAGGATTCCCAAGGGCCAATTACTTGGTCTTACCTAACAAACTGTAATCCCTATATGTTATTCATATCATACAAATTAGACTTGAAAAGTATCACTCAAATATATATAAATATTCAGAATAAAGTTTAGATATCATAGATACCATATGACGCACACACATGGAAAATAAACACGTTTTCTGATTTTTCATCATTTCCCTGATAGAAAAAAAAAAAAAAATTTTAAAAACACTAAACAGGCTGCAATACATTCTTATAAAATTATATTATGCTAAAAATATACTTGAACCAATTGTTATACCAATTGATGCAGATGGAGATATAGTCCTCAATAGCATATAATACACAAAGTGTACACAAGAAAGATTTCACAATCACTGAATCAAAGATATAAGTTGTAGACGACCTTCGGGAGTTAAAAGATTATAATTAAAAAAGAATGCGACTAGGAATAATGTATGAGAGAAGTAATTAGGCAGCACTCTTGAGCTTCTTGGCGATGGCGGCAATGTATTTCCCCTGGTGTAAAGCCTGCTGTAGTTCGAGTTCAGATGGCTGTCTGGAGCCGTCCCCTGCGTAAGTTCCAGCACCGTAAGGACTTCCACCTTTGACACTCTCCATTTCGAACATGCCAGCACCAAATGTGTATCCAATGGGCACAAAGATCATCCCATGGTGAACGAGCTGAGTGATGGCAGTCAAGCTATATAGTATTTAATGAGGAAAAGAAAGATAGTTCAATGGTCCTGTTATACCCAGTATTTCAAATAGTGAAATATCATTGGTTACTTTAGAAATCTGCAAGCAATAACTTACGGTGTTGTCTCCTGCCCACCACCTTGGGATCCAGTGCTGTAGAATATGCCAGCAGGCTTGCCAGCCAGCTGTTGTGTTCTCCATAGACCTCCAGTTGCATCAAGAAATGCTTTAAACTGAGCAGCCATCATGCCGAACCTTGTAGGGAAGCCAAAAACAAAGCCATCAGCCTCAGCCAGGTCATTAGGTGTAATAATAGGTACATCACTCTTTGGAGGCGCACTCATTTTTGCTAGAACCTCATCTGACAGAGTTTCAGGCACCTGTCATGTGAAATGTTGTTCTTTTAGAATTAGAAGGCATAATAAGTTCATGCTAAACCAATTTTCTTAGTAAATCTAGAATGTCTCTGTAAAGGAACTCTATGTAGGAAAACAGAAAGAAAATGAGACAATCAAAATATTATCATCATTATTATTATTTCAGTTTTTTTTTTTTATTAAGTAGGTATCTGAATGATCTAGCAAGTTAATTCTTGTAATCCAGAGAACGAGATGAACTAACTAAGATGGCACCCCTAAAGTATCCAGGAATGGATGAATAGACCAGTAACAAATACTAATTATCCAGAGAGAGAAATACTTACTTTCATGACAGAATAGGTGGAAAAGTATCAGAACAGAGGTTATGTCATATCAATTAACTGAAATAGTAAGGATCAAGGTTCCCAATTCCAATGAAATATACAAATTCATTGTTGCAACTGCTGATGTCAAAGCTACTCTACTCAATGGAAGTATTATAATTCTAAATCTGTGACATAATTCACTATTTTTCTTTTTAATTTACTCTGTTACTCTAATTTAGGTTTACTAATTCTTCAATTTATATTATACAAGGCCATCAGTGGCTCATCTACTTTGTGATAACTTGAAGTTTTACCCAGAAGAGATGTGAGGAACACAGTTTAGTTTACAGGAAAGAAACAGTTTAAAGGAAATACTCATACAGCCATAAAGATATTAGATATCTATCTATAATCTTGTAGCCCAACAATTTTCATTGTCGAACAACATATGAAGGTCCTTACTCAAGCATATAATTTATATTACAATGCATTTAAAGAACGAAATGGCAAGGAAAGGAAAACCTACTTGCCACAGTTTGGCTTCAACACCTTCAACAGATGAAGCCCCTTTCTTTATCTCTTCTGCTAGTTTCTCCACATGTCCATACATAGAGTAATATCTATTGAACAAATAGAAATTTAATAGCCATATCTGATAAAAATACATGCAATTGAACACCAATCGCAGATCACACAATTAAAATCAATTTATTTTTAATCAAATATTGTATACTATAACGTATTGTCGTGACAAATTGTCATTCATATTCATTGGCTGCTACTCGTAAATAACCTGCCATAGATAAATCATAAATACCACATAATATAGAACAGAGATTTGCTAAAAAGAAATCAATAAAAGTCGCACTACCTAATACTAATCAATTACATTTTTTTTTTTTTAAATTTTGGCTCGAAGAGGTCCTGTACACAAGGCTCTTCGTCTCCTCTAAATTCTCTAATTGGTCAAGATCCTTCAATGACCAAGGTTTCTAGCGAGATTCCAACTGCGGTCAAACCAATTGAACTAGCCTGATCATAACTATTATATTTGTATTATTATTATTTCTAGTGAGATTCCAACTGCGGTCAAACCAATTTACAGCACAAAATTAACACAACTAGCCTGATCATAACTAAACGGAACCAGAAAATTATGCTGAAAAAAAAATCAATCACAAATCACAATCATTTCCAAATAGAAAATCAAAATAATTTCCAATTCACAAATCGCGATAATCGGCAACCACATATAGAAACCATGCAATCAGGACCTCATCAGGAAATTTAAAAAATCGGAGGAAAAAAAAAAAAAAAAAAGAGGAGCGTTAAAAATAGACAGATAAATCTAGAGATTGTGACGAAGAAGAATCGACTTACACGATGTAAACTTTGGCAGCCATTATCAATCTGATTAGAGCGGAGAGAATTTCGAGTTTCGGTGTGGCTAGAGAGCGTTGACGACTGAGCGCCAGATGGCTAAGCCTCCCTATTTATAGTAGCTCGCCTTTGAGTGATGAATGTTTTAAACAAAACTGCGGATAAGTAATTCAGTAGGCGATCCTGCAATAATTAACGGAGAGCTTCAGGGTGAAACGACGACGTTTATCTGCGGCCATTTTTGGTAATTTAATTTTTTTTTTTTATTTCCGAGAAATCTCGAATTTAATGATGAGATATGTTGGACGTAATCATCATTTTTACCGGCGCTCTACGCCTATTTTATTTTATATTTTTATCCCCTTTTCTTTTTGGTCTGTTTCTCTTGAAAGTCAAGCAAGGGAAATAATTTTATCTTTTTCTCTTATCAGCATAATAAAATAAAATATTTCTGAACCCAACAATTTATGATAGTTAATTATTAGGAGAAAAATATATTTAGTTTCTTAATTGTTTAAGATGTAGATTTAGTGTTATAATTGTAATTAAAGTGTCGATTTGGGGTCCTTATGAACTAAATTTATCACTTAACAAAATAAATGATTTAATTTTTTAGTGATTAAATTCATCACCTTAATAATTATTGAGATTAAATTCACATCGTGAATAATTAAGAGATTAGATTATATAGGTTGTAAAGGTATCGAGTGTGGAGCGTTGAAGTTTGGTAGAATAATGGAGTGGGGAATGGTGGGAGGTGAGTGGAATAGTTTGACTGGCATGATGAAAATGGGGAGATGATGCACGACCATATATGGAAAACCAAACAAACACATAAAGTCAAGAAAAATGATTGCTTTGTTGGATCAAATTATTTGAAATTGGAGTCCTACTTGATTATTGTTATTATTGACTATGAAACATTGTTTATGGGGTTATATATATATATATATATATATATATATATATATATATATATATATATAATAATGCTCATATGCGGCAGTGGCTTTAGGTGCGGCGGTGCGGCCATATCAGCATCGTCCATTCTGCTCAATCTAACGGTAGCGACTAATTTCTGAAGATTTAAAGATTTAAGCACGTCCTGGTAAGTGGGGGGGTGTTATGGTAATTGTAGTGGTCATTTATATCGGTCGCTTGTCAGTATACACCAACAGTGTTAACAAAAGAAACCAATAGTGTTAGGAAAAAGCACCACAATGAACTGCATAAATACACCAAAAAACACACAACACACACAAAAAGTACACCATATAACTCACCACCCCAATGGTGTATTTCTGAACACTGTGTGATGCTTTTATTCATACCTAGTGGTGCGTTCTGGTGATGCGTAACTAATTTGTGCATGTCTTTTTGGTGTGCATTTTCTAACATGGATGGTGTATATTTGTATAACTATTAGTGCGGTCGCACTGACCGCTCGGGAATGCACCAACACGAATTCTCAAATACACCACAGTAAGGTTAATAATGCACCAATAACGAACATAAAACACACAACACTATGATTTGATCTATTCTGGTGCCCAATGACGACTTTAACCTTACAGTTCGCGTAGTGTGAGAACGCGCGCGAAAATATCGGAAAAGCCTTGATGAATGTGATTCGTTGAATTTATCTAATCTAATGGCCTACAATTAACCGCACCGTCGCACCTAAGTGTACTGCCGCACTTGAACATTCCCCTCTCTCTCTCTCTCTCTCTCTCTCTCTATATATATATATATATATATATATATATATATATATATATATATATATATATTGTTTGGTATGGATGGCAAATTATTGTGTGGATGGTTCACATAGTGTTGTGTGGACCATAATAAAAAGTACATTTTAATATGTTAAAAGTACAGTATTCGTGTACTGAATGTACATTATACAAAATAATTTACTTTTAATACTTAAATAATGTACTTTTCCTGAATATAATATATATTTTTAATATACTGAAAGTATATTATTTGTATACCGAATGTACATTATTTGATAATATGGTCCACATAATAATGACTGGATATGGATGAACCAAGCTGCTAAAAGTTTTACAAGTTATGATGATGTGACTTTTACATATATATATATATATATATATATATATATATATATATATATATATATATATATATATATATATTTTTGTATATATGGATGGCATATCGAATATTTTTATTCTTGAATATTTTTCTTAAATATATATATATATATATATATATATATATATATATATATATATATATATATATATATATATATATTGAAAGGTTCCTGTGCGGTTGGGTGCTTCCCGTGTGGTTGTGCGGTTAATTAATGTGCGTGAGCTTTGTACTTAACGTGCGTGAGTTTTGTACTTAATGTGCATGAGTCTTGTGCTTAATGTGTCTGAACTTTGTACTTAATGTGCGTGAATTTTGTACGTAATGTGCCTTGAGTCTTGTGTTTAATGTGCCTGAGATTTGTATTTAATGTGTGTGAGTGTGTAATGTTAATGTGCTCATGTTGCTCCTGTACATATACGTCTTCGTCTTCTCTTCATCTCTTTTCCCTTAATCCTCTCCTCCTCTCTCTATGTTCTTCTTCATATACGTCTTCGTCTTCTCTTCCTATTCCCTTAATCCTCTCTTCCCCTCTCTCTGTTCTTCATCATATACGTTTTCATCTTCTCTTCCTATTCCCTTAATCCTCTCTTTCCCTCTCTCTGTTCTTCATCATATACGTCTCCGTCTTCGTCTGACTTTTGTGTTTAACGTGTGTGAGTTTGTGGTCTGAATGTATTTTGTTTATAGCTTCCTGTGCGATTGTGTTAAAAGTCACGCATATTAAGCACAAACCTCCCGCACATTAAGCACAATACTCAAGCACATTAAGTACAAAACTCACGCACATTAACATTACACACCCACGCACATTAAGTACAAATCTCAGGCACATTAAGCACAAGACTCACGCACATTAAGTATAAAACTCACGCACATTTATCTACCGCACAACCGCACGGGAAGCCACAAATGCACCCGATCCCTTCCCTATATATATATATATATATATATATATATATATATATATATATATATATATATATATATATATATATATATATATATAAGTGTAGAGATTTATAGAATCATATAAAACATTATAGAACTCATATGGTTATAGAGAATTTAAGGAAGATTTTAGAAATATAATCATAGTAATACAATCAAGTAGATCTCCACCGTCCATTGAAGAGGTAGAATAAGTATAAATAACCTCGAGCTCATTTTGTAACAATCAAGTGATCCCAATTATTCGAATGAAGATAGAGGGTCATTAGTAGCTTAAAATAAGCTATATACACCTAAATAAATTATGCCAAACAAATTCATTAGTAGCTTAAAATAAGCAAATACTCATTTACGCTCATGGGCACAACTTCATAGAGAATTCATGAATGAATTATTTCCTTTTACGAAGACAATAAAAGTCCGGAAATAAGTTCAATAGTTCAAACAATGATTAATTGGGGGAAGCGTAAGGAAGATTTAAGAGGTTGAAAAGGCAATTCACACACGGAAACATGTTCAAGAGTTCAAATAATGCTCAATTGGGGGAAGCATTGAGGGAAGGTGGGCTCTTATAGCATCAATATCAGTGGTGGGCTCTTATAGCATCAATATCAGTGGAGTTTTTTCAATCGTTATGCTATGGACCTGTGTCCAGCATGCATGTTGGACACGGTAACTGTAACACCCCTGATTTTTACCACATTTTTAGAACTTAAATGCACAGGCAAACATCTAATCATCAAGACATAAAGCAACAGAAACTATATAAAATCGGGACATGTTATGCCACACCTATCGCATGTACAGGAGAGAAAAACTATCAATTCAACAAAAACATAAAGTGTCAAGGCACACCGGCCACTAAACTAGGCTCACAGACCAACAAAGATAACATCTACACAGGACAGCTAATCTATCTAGCAATACACGTCTAGCGCTCTCAGGCATCTACTCAAAACCTATAGAACAAGGGAATAAACATGGAGATAACACCCGGTCAGCGAATATTGCTGGTAACCCATCAATACGCGTTAAATAACATATATAGATAAGTATAAGTCAAAATCATTTTGAAACGGAATACAGTATATATCATTTCAAAATCAAGGAGAGAAGTCAACTTCAAAGACTCATCAAACACCCTCAAAAGAAATAGGAATCACCCTCCTCACAACAACAACAAGATAACAAACATGAAAGACAACACAACTCAGGATGCATTCTACTGATCACAAAGTAGAATACATCAAGACATACTAATAAGCAAAGAATTCACATTCACACAGTGGCAACTACATGCCACTGACAACTATATGTCACAAGTATCATAGTTCCACGTTCCAACCTTATGCCCTGTTTCAACCTTATGGCTACCCCCGACCTTATAACAGTTCCAACCTTTACCTCCTAGTGTCATCCTGTACTTCTGAGTCCAACCTTGTACCGCCAGGGACCGTCGTCCCCCCTCTAACAACCTCCAACATCCCGCTGAACTCTCAGTACACGAGAGTACCATTAACTTCATTCACATAGCCTCCAACATGTGAGCCAAGCTCATATAACACACCACCAATTTCAATCATAGTCACACAATATCATCATCATTACCAAGAAGATTAAGGCTCAACAATAACCTTAATCAAGTATCAAAGGGTACAACGATTTACATACGTTCATATCATTGGAATCAATCAATAGATCACAACAAAGACATGAAATCATACTCAACAACGAAGGATCACGATCCAACACCAAACGATTGTCAACACAAGTTGCCAATCCCAACAAGAAAGAACAAACCGCACATACTAGCATTTCAACATCAAACTAGCATGTTTATCAAATGGGTAAACCAAAAGTAGTTCCATAGAACATTCAAGACTCACAATAGCCCAACGAATCACAAAGTCGGACCCTTAGCACGATTCAAGACACCAAATCCTACATGGATTCCTAGCATACCGTTCTAGACATACGAAACGTCAAGAAGACTCACAAATAGCCCAATAAAACAACATCGGATGGTCAAAACATCAATACCGAGGCAAAAGAATCACTGGGAACAAATCCCCGCCCATCACCAACAATGTACCCCGCGGGGTGGGGCCACGGGTACACACCCACGAGGTCACCTGTTCCCCGCGGGTGGGGCGGCGAGTAGGCCTCTGCCCGCCGTTCCGCCCGCGGGTACTCCCCTGTACACCAAAATTATCCCTTCGGCGATTTTCAACAATAAGGCCAAGTTCAAGTCCAAAACACCTAAAATCTCACACACAACAATAATATGACTTGAACCCAAGAAATAGCCAAACAACAGCATTCAAGAACCCTAAGAACAAGCTCTAAACATGCATCACCACTAGACAATGTATCAAATTAATTTCGTTTAATTAAATATCTTCTTCTTCTTCTTCTTCTTTTTTTTTTTTTTTTTTTTTTTTGAGAAAAATGAAGAGAATTAAATATCTTTAAATAGTGATTGTCGCTATTAACAAGTTTCTCCCTAGTCTCACCGTCATGTCCATTCATTCATGTTCTTTTAGTTGGTTTCTATTACTGTAGGCACAAAATAAATCTTACTTCGTGGTCCTAATCGACAAAAGATCACAAAAAAGGATAAATCAATCTATATTGTATATAATTGACACCTCAAATCAAGAAAGCTAATAGGACGTTGTTACTAAAAGTTGAACATGGAACCATGTGATTCAAGTATACAACATTTTCTTTAAAACTTAAATACCAAAACCAAAAAAATAAAATAAAAAATTCTGGGCCACATACAAATGAGCACATTTGCCATCTCCACAAGCAAAATCAATCTGGTAGTTCATGGAGAAACAGTGGACAAAAGAAATGACCTTTTTCTCATACAAGCAACTGAAAACTTCACAAACAATTCTTGTATCCTTATTTTGCTACTAATCTAGAAAGCTTGCTAAAATGGTCATTCTATAATGTTCTATATTTCAGTGGCATCAAGAAGAGAGACCAACCCCTACAAAGATCACCACCACATAGAACAAAATATGGCTTTTTGCTTCAAGAGTTCATCCCAAACCTCATCATAATCACATAGTTAGGCTAAGATTTTTGTTTGCTACGATCACAATGTCCACGTGAGCTATCGACCCATGCACTAACGGGCATCCAAGAGCGTGAAAGTGATTTCATTTACTGAACATGTTTCCCGCTGGCTGGATGAAGGATACACTTCGGTTGGCATCACGTCTATCAGAAAACCCGGCTGTTTTGGCTCCGGCAGTGTACTCTCCCCATTCAACATTAGAACCACAGATGACATATTCGGCCTGTTATCGGGGCTCTGCTGGATGCACAAGAGAGCTACATGCACGCATCGCAGCATTTCAGGGAGAGAGCAAGAGTCATCCAACGAGGAATCGATCAGTTCGAGTGGTCTGCCTTCCGTCCAAACTTGCCAAGCCTAAAAAACAAAATGAAATGTGTTATAAACTAAGATTGGGCTAGGGTCACTCAACTGGATTATAATGCACATGGGTCAAACCACACTAAAAGATCAAATCCAACCAATTAACTAATCTAACCCATGACCTTATAAACTCATGTTCTCTCTTATTTTATCAATGAATGTGGGACTTTAACACTCCCCTCAAGTGGACAACTGGGCCATTTTGAATCTAACCAATTGACCAATTAAAATTGGACTAGACCCTCCCCTGAAACGAAAGCTCTGGACGCCACCACAGTAAACCGAACAAGCGGACTTACGAAAGCTTGGACGCCACCAATACCCATAACCGGGTGAACCCAATGAAATATCACCTAACTGAGACAACAAGAACTTCATGACAAAGGATTTCAATGCTTACATATCCTATAAGATTATGGTGGAATTCTGAATGATTAAAGGAACCGTTTTTCTTTCCACTTATTATCTCCAATAATAGAATGCCAAAACTAAACACGTCGGATTTCACTGAGAATAGACCATAAAGTGCATACTCTGGAGCCATATACCCGCTGCAAAGAACAAAGTATCAGTAAAACAAATTACTTAAATGAAAAGAGACAAAAAGCGTAGAAAAGTCGCATGTTTAACCATACTATGTTCCGACAACTCTTCTAGTACTGTCTTCATTCTGATCTCCTCCAAAGGTTCTTGCCATTCCAAAGTCTGAAATCTTCGGATTCAATTCCTCATCAAGCAAAACATTGCTTGCTTTGAGATCTCTATGAATAATTCTCAACCTCGAGTCCTGATGAAGATAAAGAAGACCTCGAGCAATTCCACATATAATCTGGAAACGCTTAGACCAATTTAAATCTCTCTTCCTTCTATTATCTGTCAAGTTAATCCAGTCCCCAATGTAAATTCAGTAAATATATTAACTAGAAACAAATAATAACTTCAATGTGAGTATGACAGGGTAAAGCACCAAAAAGAAAGAAGTTCAAGCTTTTATTCGCCATGTATTCATAGATTAGCATCTTTTCTTCCCCGTCGATGCAGCTACCGATAAGCCTTACGAGATTTCTGTGCTGAAGCTTTGCAATCAGCCGCACTTCATTTTTGAACTCGTTCAATCCCTGTCCAGAACTTTTTGAAAGCCTCTTCACGGCAATATCCCGTCCATCTGTTAGAGTGCCCTGAAAGTTACCAGCTATTAGAAAGTCCATGGATTGTGCCAATGCAAGTGGCAGTCAATCCAGTTTTTACTTGGAAAATTTCAAGCTTTTTTAAAAATGGCAAAAGTCATTAACAACAACTACAAAGATGAATCAGAAAACAAACATGATGGCTGAATTCAATAACTCCAAACAAGTATAACTTTTGCAAGGATGAGAACCCTCCCACACACATCCGAAAAGACTTGTCGTTTTTCCTCGCTCTAAAATTAATCACATTCCAAACAACCACCCCCCCCCCCCCACCCCCCATATATATAAGGTCAGATTCCCGTGCAGACAGTGCTTCCCGTGTGGTCACTCACCATTAGGTACGTATAAATACACCACAAAGTGTTCGAAAATGCACCATTAGGCGTGGCGCGGTGTGGTGCATTAGTGCATTTCATTGTGGTGCATTTCCAAACACTGTGAGGTGCATTCTTGCATACCTAATGGTAAATCCGCACCGGCCGCACAGAAAACACTGTCCGCATTTGAACCAGTATATGTATGTATATATATATATATATATATATATATATATATATATTGCCTGAGCTTACCTTGTAAACAGGTCCAAAACCACCTTCACCAAGCTTATTGTTCAGTGAGAAGTCATCGGTGGCCTGTGATATTGTTGCCAAATCAAAGAATGGGATGTCTGGATCTTCTGTTGGGCGTAAATCCTGGCAATTATTTTGACTCTCTTCACCTGCTATCCAACCAGTAAAAGTTGGTAAAAATGGCATCTTTGTATTTATGGTAAGACCTGATTTAGTATTAACCAGGATATTGTTCGAGCATATCTACCTTTTCCTTTCTTTCTCCTGAATAAGCAGTAGCAGGCAAGACACATACCAGAAAATACAGCAACAGTGATTACCACAATAATAATTACTTTCACAGCAGGGAACCCTGATGGAAACAAAGCTCGAGTTAGAAAGATTCAGTCGACTACTCGACTTAACTGAACATAAAACTAATTAAATGCAATATAAGTACCTTCATTAGAAGCTTCGATTCGTATATAGAGGTCCTGGCCACTGTCTGGAAACTGCCTAATATCAATCAAGTTACCGAACCAGAGGGCACACCCGCTACCTTTTCCTCTAATATCTAAGTTTGTGTAAGCCATACAGGAGCAATTTTTTAAGCAAGTTGCCCTGCACTCTGCCAGGTTCATAGTAGCGTTCACCCAAGAACTGGTTGTATCTGGTAATTTCAGGCCAGTAAATTTGACAAACACTTTTCGATTCAAGCAGTTTAAAGGCTCAGTAAGAATGCATCCTTGAGACCAGTCCATTGAGTTCCAGCTTTCGGGTGATTTTGGTTTAAAACCTTCCAGGCACTGGCAAACAGGAGAGTCGCTGATAACACAGACTCCATTTGCACCACAAAGATCGTAAGTGTCACAATAATCTCTCGGGACTTCTCCATAAAGTCTCCAAGATTGATCAGCTTCCACCCATACATAACGCTGTCTTGTAGAGGTGGTATCATTAAAGACTAGCCTCGTGATCACGGATTTATTCTTGAGCTGGTACATATAGTACACCTCATCCTGATTAGAAACAAACTTGAAATCGAAAACTGGGTTGGGCTTTAGTTCAGGAGCACCACTGAACCGTATTCCATTCCACGGACCACCTCGAAAGTATTTCCGGGAATTCTTCCACATGGCTGATTCAGGATATCCATGAAGGTCTATTCCACCACTCAGTGCTCCTGGGGAAGGGTCATCGGAGTTCTTCCATGAAGTGAGGCGCCTATTAAGACCAGTCCGTAAATCCCATCCATACTTCATACCAGGTAACAGTGTGTCAGATGGATAATCAAAGCTTTGCCACAAGAAGACATCAGAATTTCCACCTTTCTCATCTACAAGAACAAGATTTCCAGAATCCAAAAGTTTCGCTACAGGACTTCTAGCTTCTCTAAATGAATTTGTCGACCAAATATCATTGCTTTTCCCACTCAACAGCACAAGACTTCCTGTGTTGTTAACCGTCAAGACACCTGACAAATCTTTAATCGGGATCTTTCGATTTGCAACCCACACTACAGTCCTGACAGCAATATTCCTATACCAAATACCCAAGTAACGATACTTGGAGCTGCCCGGACTAAAGAAACCAAGTTCAAAACTTCCCTCCTCTGAAACTAAGCTTTCACCATCACTTAAAGATTGAGACGGAGTAATCCTGTACTGTAGAGCATCAGCTTCCCTGAGTAAACAGCATAAAGAAAAAGAAGCATACCAAACTATAAGCCAAAGACTGTTCATTGGCGCATAAGATTTTACTCCAGAATATATTGAAAGGTGAAAAGAATTCTTCGAAGATATTATAACATGAGGCAAACTTCCAGAGCAGTTTCAAGATATAGAAGACATACTATTCCAAAACTTGTCATATCATATGATACTTCTCCGAAACAAATAAATTTCTATGCTTGAAAAGTCTGCCAAGTTTGGCTTCACATACTCTGACAATGAAGATGATCGTTTTGTCACCACTATGAGTATTTAAATTTCAAAGACCAAAGAAATCATCAGGGCTTTTTAAGCATCATTCATGAATGTAATTCTTAATACCTAAAGTTTCAACATATGTGTCCCTGACACTGCTTTCACCCTACCTCTCTGAGAGCTACAAGAAATAAAAAGAAATGATTAACAGTGGACCATTGTATTGATTTAGTAATTTCATTTGCAAAAGGAATTACCTTAGTCAATATTTCACAACAACAAGTCCAACAAAGAGACTCCTAGGTCACCAACATCACTATCATTTTGAGTAAATTTAGTACCAAGTAGTTTGATGTCTATGTCTATGTCTTTACACGTTACAACTGGCTAGCCTAGTTCACATTAGCGGCTCATAAATCAGGTGAAAACAACAGGATAAAGAAAGACAAAACAAAAAAACAAAAACTAAAACAAAAAAAATGAAAGGAAAACCTCTTGATTTAATGTCTGTATATTTCAGAATCAAACATTATTGGTAAATTACAGAAAAGAATGAAACTTGTATAGGTTAATTGTCATGGGAATTCAGTAAAACGGTAAGAAGTTAAAAAGAAAAGTTACAATCTCTGAAGAGATCATGAAGGGCCTGGTCTAACAAAAACTCGGACTGCTCCATCAAATCAGGGCTCAATCTAAACATTAGCACACAAAACTCCATCTGATTCAGGGCACCATCTCCATCGGAATCTCCTTCTCGGAGCATGCTCCGGAGATCATCGTCGGTGAAGTCTTGCAAGCCCAGCAAAGCAGAGTTATTCTTGAGGCTCTCGAAGGTGATGACCCCTCGGTCTTTATCCATGAGTAGCTGAAACCCATTGCAGAGCTCGCCTATTAAGGCGTCCCCGCCAAGCTTTTCGGCCATGAGAGGCAATAAATCTTGGAAATTTGACTGGGCTCTTGATTCCATTATGAACGAAAGGAAATGTGATGTTGTTTGCGTTTTTGGTTGGTGATTGCGATGGCATTGGGGCTTCAGGGGGAGTAAATATATACGGATTGTGGAGGAGATTGGATGGAGGTTTCGGAGAAGCCATGGGAATGGGCATTCAAGGATACAACTAAGGTACAGATGGTTAACGCGAAGTTCACTTTGCTTTCCCTCGTTCAGGAAGAAATTGCTTTCCGGTTTCGAGGGCGGTGGTCCGGGTCAACAGTATGGAATGGATTTCAGTTCAGCCCAATTAAGCCCATATCTCTAGAAGCCCAGCAATTATACTATGGACCACGGTCCAAAAACGGCGCGCCGTTACAATTAATAGTGCGCATATTTGGTGTATTAATTACCAACTGAAACTAGTGTATATTTAAACTGACATCGTCTCACGTATTATTTTTATATTATCAAATGAAACTGCAATTGAATTGAAATGAAACTGTAGTTGTGTTAAAATGAAACTGCAGTGTATATAAAATGAAACTGAATAACATTTCACATATTTGAGTGTATATTGTGGAATGAAACTTTAGTTATATCGAAATGATAATGTAGTTGTGTTTTAATGAAACTATATATAGTGCATATAAAATAAAATTAAATAACATTGTCAGATATTTGAGTGTATAAATATCAAATGAAACTGTAGTTATATCGAAATGAAATTGTAGTTGTGTTGACATGTATTTCTCTTTCAAGTGTTTTCTTTTATAATTACTAGTTAGATATCACAATTTACGCTAGACTAATTTTATACCTTCAGAACCTATATTCTATTGGGGCTATGTATTTCTCTTTCACTCCATTTAAGACATCTTCATTCTTTCTTGACATTGTTCTTTTCGTGAAAAACAACATAAGAATAACAAGAAACGAGTCATAGGTGCACTTGGGCTCCTTAGATTAGAGATTGGGCTCTCTAAATTGATAGAAGTATAGAGATACATTCTATGTGTGCGAATTAACCGAAAGATTTCTTAGGCGACTTGCAATTTAGTTCCTCTAGCGATTCTTTGGTAGGAAGTATAGGGACCTAGAATTAGTCTAGCGTATGCTGGAAAACTTAATATATATATATATATATATATATATATATATATATATAAAATCATAAGAAAATAACGAGTAATTATATTATTCGTCAAACGACCAATTTCTTAGAAGATGTCCTTACATCTTACTAATGCAAGTCAAATAAAAATTACATACTTATAAAGTGATAGGTAATAAGTTATTGTAATATGAGAATACCATTATATATTGTGATATGATGGACTTTACTACTATAACAGTATAACCTAATCATATCATACCCCCCCCCCCCCCCCCACCAAATTTAACAAAAAAAAAAAAAAAAAAATATTGATGTGTTGTAAACATATCATTACTATTATTTGATTTTCTCAATGAATAAATTGAGATTGCAATTTGTTTTATATGCACAAATCAATATTATTTGGTCTTACAAGTTACAAATAAATAATGAATTTAGTTATAAATTAACTAATCAAATGAAATTATGTAAATTTAAACATACAAATTTCTTTCGATTTAATATATATTAATGTAATTGAATTGGCACTGAGACTATTCTAGAATGTGATGTCGATAAATTCAAAGTAAGATTCAAATGCCTTACAGTCGAAGCAAGACCTAACGGGAAGGAAATTAAAATGGAAAATGATGTTTGTGAATACACGAACACGAGTATTAGTTGATGGGCACTTCCACGTTTACTATTAAATTGAATGGACCCAACATATATATACCTTAGCCTCCAAATAAGAAGAAATTTTTTTTTCCATCAAATTTATCAAGAGTGTTAACATATTAAGGTTGTTGGTCCTTGGTACTTGGTAGAATGCCTGTTGGTGGTGGCTTGGTGTTGGGGTAATCTCAACCGTCAAATGAAGAGTAACAAATCATAATGGCCATATTTGGTAACATAGTAAATTTATTCGTTAATTTTATTTTATTTGACCACTATTAGCACTTTGATTTTTTTTGAGTACTACTTAGCAGTTTGACTTAGTTAAACAATCAATACGAATGTTTGATTAATTACCTTTTTGTAACAATTTATTACTACAAAATGTTAAAATTCAAAAAGTTGTTCAAATCAACTTTTCCGATTAGCTTTTTGAGAAAATCATTTTGCATGTAATCAACTATCAGCTAACAACTAATTTACCAAACACTTTAATTTTCTACAATCAGCTAACGATATCAACTAGCCAAACCCACTAACCCAATTAGCTAACAACTATTTACCAAACACCCCCAATACAAGGAAAGCTCAAATTATATAGCAACCCAATTTATTGATATATAGACAAAATAAGTTTGATATAATATGATAATCATGTTTTAGTATGAGAAATTTAAGCAGTGTCAAATTGATCATATTCTTTTTATTTTATTTTCTTAAAATGTTGAATCCTTAACTCTGACACGACAAAGTATTTGAAAGAATGTAAACAACAATAATAACTTAGTGACTAATTAGTCTTTTTCTCTAAATATTGTCTACTGAACTAATGAGCTAAACTCGTACGGGACCGTACCCTTTTTATCCAATCATAAACCTATTTTGTATATATGTGAATACTTATTTGAATTATTGTTTTATTTATGAAGTACTAATAAGCTTAGTATTAACCTAACCTATACTATAACTTCAATTCCCATAACCTCAATGTCTAAAGGTGAATTAAATATCATCATTAATATTGCTTTTGGTGTGCAGTATAAGTCTAAAAAATTTTAAGACAAATTCCTATCATTTTCTTTCCTTACTGAATCATTTCATAGCAACTTGACTGCCGTATTTTTCCAAGACGTACAGGACAATTGACTTGGGATGGGAACGCCACATTGCAACAATAAATTAAAGAATTCAAACACATCTTTATAAGCTATCGTATTGGCAAGGGCAGGGACTAGTACATGAATTCCATGGTTGACACGGTGAATTGAAGGGCTGAAGCCTTCCAATTTCCAACTAAAATTTTAAACATTTTTTCTGTTAACTAGAATGAATATTTTTCTTTGATTTTATTTTCTTTAAATACCCAACACATAAAAATATGGAAAATAACTTCTAGATTTCCAATCAGATCCTAAGTCTATCTTTTCACTAAACCAAAAAATGAAACAGAATATCTATTATATTCCTTTCCAAAAGTAATAAAACTTTTTTTTTTGAAGAAAAGTAATAAAACTTTTATTAACTCAAAATTCATTTCATAAACCGTGTTGTATGTATTTAAACTAAAATAGAAACAAAAGCTATTAAAAAGAACTGAGAAACAAATATCTCCAGCCCTCCAGGAAATAACAAGTGGCTAGAGAGTAGAGATAAGTTGACAATGACGTGGCCTCTATTTTCAAAAGATGGCAACAAACTTGTAGACTTATTTAGTGTTTAAAGATTTTTTTAAACCAATGAATGCATCACTGTGTTGGTAAGTTTTGCTATCCGGGGATTCGGATGAAAAGTTGACCAACTATTTGTGGTAGAGACGATTTGTTTTCCCCAAATCTCACTTTATGTTATTTTGTTTGACATTTTAATTTGTTCCTATGTTTTAACTAATCCATCGTTCACATTAATCCTGCCCGATATACTAGTCATGGTATATTGGTATTTGTTCACCGACACTTGATATATAGCACGAGTTGAAAGCTCGACCTAACTTATTATCACCTCCAATAATAATGTAGTTATGCTTAGCGGATTTATTATTTGTAGCCATTTGAATATTCTAGATCTAGAATAGTAACTATAAATATTATTTTTTTTATGACGATGGAAATTCGAAGTCACTACTGGATGGTGTGCATTGGGTAAATCTCACTTCTGTGTAATAACCTACAAATCATACCAGAGAGGTCAATAAAACTATGAAAACCCTATGTGACGGATTTAACCGAGATGAACTATAAATATTCTTTTTTTTTTTTTTGTAACTTATTGCAATTGTAATTAGAAAAATTAAATAAAATTGCATACTTGAAAATGAATAGAATCCGTGAAAAATATTTTAAATTATTTTAACTATACTAAAGATAAATTAAGTATATTCCAAGTGGATGGTCAAAGGTTCGAACTCCGATGGTGGATGCTTAGATTCTTTGGGTTGAAAATGTATGAGAAAGTATAGAACAGGTACTACATTGTAAAGAATCAAGTATTTCAAAAAAAAAAAAGTATATTCCTTTCCCCGGTCTAGCTTTTGTTGGAAAAAATAGCTTAAAATGACATGTTAAGTGGCTATTTTGTGGTACAATTATCAGTGGGGTCCACTTCCGATTTGGGTCAGGTCAAAGTGGATCGGATTCTTCGTGGTGAGACGAAGAGATTAATATACTGTACGCTCAAAACGGATAATGGGTGAATGAGATATTGATTCTCAAAGTAGACCCATTGAGTTGGAAAAATGAAGGGAAAAAGTGAACTTTTGTCTCACATTAATTTGGAAAGAGGATTTGCCCCCCTTTTTATACAAGAGCTCTTTTGGAGCTTGTAGAATTATATAGTATAAAGACTCTTTCGTTAGGGGGGGTGCAAATCAAATTGGCCTGGCCTAGGCCACAAAGCTCCTAGCATTTTTGAGAGGTGGCAAATAAGGTTTTAAGGAAAAAGTGAGATAAGGTTGGCCATTGTATTTGAGCAAGTGTTAGGTATAATGAGAGTGGGAAGGAATTAATTAAAGAGCTAGATTAACAGAAAACTTTAATTTTAGGTAGAAGTGAGAAAGTAGAAAACATGTAGAACGTCAAAACACCAAATGAGATAAGATGTTTAACGAAGCTTGGAACATGGCTGCTAAAAGGTTGGGAATTGACTTATTTAAAAAAAAAAAAAAAAAAAAAAAAAAAAAAAAAAAAAAAAACCTCAAAATTGTAAAAATGGAAGCATCTGTAACATTTGGAGGACAAAAAAAAATGTCATGTCAGACATTACATGATACAATCATTAGGTGGTATGAAAATATTATTTTTTGAGTTAAGAGCTAAACTCAAAAATAAAAGAGAAAAAAGACATGAGTATATTTTGAGTAGCAGCTTAACTTCAGAAAAAGAGATAAAAGAGAAGAATGTAACCATACAAATTCAATATATATTCTCACGTCATTTCCCCAAATACACATATAATTATTTATACATGATCATAAAACTATTCATTACACAATTATGTGTTATAACTACCTATGAATCTCACTATCCATAGAACATGGGTGTATCATAACATTCCCACTTACGCAGTGGATGGGCACAATTGGATCTTGCTATATGCTTCTAAGGACAAGATTTGGTGAGTATTGGTAGCAAGGTTGTTCAACTTACTCTGTTAAACCAAGTATAAGAATTATGTTGATGAAGTTTCTTGTGGTTTTATATTAGCATACCATATAAGGATGTTATTTGGTAATTGTTTTTAACATGTTAGTTATATGATTATAATGCTAATTTTGTAAAATAGAATGGGCTAAATGGGCTAAATAATTTTATTATTATTATTATTATTATTATTATTATTATTATTTTACTTAGATAATGTAATTGCACTTTTACTGTGTAGATACTCTATTTGATTTTTATACCCATTTTTTAGTGTTTCAACTATGCCTAGTTCAACTACCCATGATGTTAAGTTCACGCCCAACTAAAATCTAATAATTAGAGGACTAGTTTGAGTTTAATTAAAAGTCACAGCATCAATTTGAGAAATGATTATAATTGAATGACTATTTTGAGAAAAAAATTTAACTTTTTTTTTTTGGAAATAAAAAAAAGTATAACTAAGAAACGATAAAATAGTTAATCCTATTATAATGATATATATATGCTCTATGTTTAATTTTAAAATAATATCCATTTAAATATAGGATTTACAAATCATAAAATGAATATCAATAAATATTGTTTGTACCAGCTCAGTTGATTCTCAAGTGGTAGATTGTGGGTAAAGAAAAAAGATCGAGACTTGACAATTATAGTGTGGAAGGTACACTTAATGTGGTGGGCTTTTTGTGGTCACCAGATATTGGTCCTCCCACCTAAGAGATCGTTGGGTCACCATGATTTATCATTCCACTATCCTGTCCGATCAGGGTGTGAATATCAATAAATATTGTTTGTACCAACTCAATTGATTCTCAAGTGATAGATTGTGGGTAAAGAAAAAAGACCGAGCCTTGACAATTGTACTGTGGGAGTACAGTTACATCTAATGTGGTGCCCGTGGTGGGCTCTTTTTGGCCACCAGACATTGGTCCTCCCACCTAAGAGATCGTGAGTCACCGTGATTTATCATTCCACTATCATGTCCGATCAGGGTGTGGCAGTCCTTGTAACAAGAGAATTTTGTTTTTTTTGTAGGCAAGATCAATAAATACTATTACAACTCGTTTGGTTTGTGCAAGAGAACGTTTGAGGAATGAAATCTTATCTTATCTTATCTTACTCTATATAATAGCAAAATGTTTTTTGCCAATCAATTTCCCGCCTAAATAAAATTGCATCATTTTAAGGTATTAAATACCAATTAAATGAAATTGCATCATTTTAAGGTATATAATGCAGCATACTTATCTATTTTCAATACATGTTAATCTACAATTATTGTTATTTAATGATAAGCAGGTAATACATTCCAGTATTTTTAAGTTAACATTTTATTATATAAATTAATTTATTGTTTACTGAAAAAAAATTAGAGTATCCGATTTTAAAAAATAAGATTAACCTGTTTTTTTATTCTTACAATTTTGTTGATCGACAACAATTTAATTGTTCATTCTAATATAGTTTTGAGAGGGTTTTTTTAAAAAAGTTACTAAATCAATTACTAAATTGAAAAAAAAAAGTTTTTTAAAATTTAAATCAGTTGCATGAACAATAATATTGGAGAGACGAATAAGTTTAAACAAATAATTATTGAACTGATATTAAGTAATTAGAAAATATGATGTATTTCTTAATTTCATTTTAAACAATAAGTTTTACCTGATGATACTGTATTTATTAGTTTGTTTTAGATCTGTTCCGGTCACCCGATTTTTCAGATCGGCATTTGGGAAAGAAAGCAATTCCACAACGGCCGAAAGCTACGGTCAGATTATTTGAAAAGTTTTTTAGCAGTGAATTATTTGGACGTGCGATGATTTAAAATCGAGTATGTCAAGACGTCGGAAACAGAGAAGGTTCGCGTAAGTCAGTGAACATTTTAGAGAGAATGAAGAACGCAACAGAGTAGACGGAAGCGCAATCGTCAAAAAATATGGATTAGCGTTTGGTAATCAGGTTTTACAATTGGGTTAATGGGCTCGGGTATTGGGCTGAAATGCAATGTAACTGGATTATATGGATAGATAATTAAATGTTTATTGGGCTTAGCATTGCAGGTTTTATTTTTTCTTTCATGTCATGAAATATTTCATATTTAGTTTAGATTTATATATGTTGTACGTATATAATTATTATTATTAAGCAATGTTTAAGAAAAGATTTTCGTAGTTAGTTTCAATGTATGATGATGATACTGTATTTTTTATTTATATATTGTCAAGTATATGTACTATAGGCTTTAATTGCAAATCATATTAATAAATGTTTTTATATATAAGAAAATTTAATTTCATAATTTTTTATTGTATATTGTTCGATTTCCTAATTAAAAAATATATATATAAAAATGTGTGTGTGTGTGTGTGTGTCTATATATATATATATATATATATATATATATATATATATATATATATATATATATATATATATATATATATATATATTTTAATGTACACTTTTTAAATCTCATGTGGTATGTTATAACACAATTCTTTATAATATATGCTAACAGTATGTGATGTTCGATATAACAACCAATTTAGTATTGTTAAAGAAAAATACATTTCAGAATAAGTTTTAATTTCATGATTAATATTTTATTTTATTGTTTTTAAAATATTGTCAATAATAAATTTACTTAAATTTTATGCCGTGCATCGCACAGGGCAAAAACTAGTTTAATTAAAATCTATGAAAATGAATTAATGCATATTTTATTCCATTGTTTGGTTGATGAGAATGAAATTATTGAGAATAATTAGTATAACAATTTAAATGTCCTACACAATTGATGATTTTATCATTTTTACTACACAATGTTATGTGGACCAGAATAAAAAGTACATTTTTAATATATTAAATGTACCTTTTTGTATTGTATGTACATTATACAATATAATGTACACTCAGTACAAAAATAATGTACATCTCCTGAATACAATGTACATTATTTTTGTTATGAATGTACATTATTTTACACTATACAAAATATGGTCCATATAACTTGTGTGGATCATGGTCCACACAATAATGATTGTGTCCAAAGTGGGAAGATCTCTTGTGCGCACCCGCATTTGACTATGTCTACTAAGTCATTGAGTTACCGTGATTTTTATCTTCTCAAATGCTTTATCAGGTCGGGGTGGTCAACCCTTGGGATTGAGTAAAAGAAAGTACAAATTTAAGGGTGTGTTTGGTTGGTGGGTTTTGCACATAGGAATGGGTATGAAAGTGATTGTTATTATTTGGTTGATAGATTTTTAGAACACTACTATGAGTTTCGAATACCCCATCAATTGAAAAACTCATACCCAAATAAAATAAGGGTTTCATTCCCTTATTCATTCTCAAACACTACTATTATTAATCATTCACATTCCACCCTACTACCAATAATTTTAAATACTTTCACCAAAACTCATTACCATTACCAAGTATTTGATACCCATTCCGATTCCGATTCCTATGTGCGAACCAAACACACGCCTAACTTATAATTTGTGTGTTATTTTTCTCTCTGACCTTTTCATTCTTCCCAAATCCCAATCTCTCTCACCTTTTCATGTCACAGTAAGTAGTTACTACTTACTAGTCTATTGTGTTTTGATAATAAAAACAAGTTGAGTTACAGCTTTCCAACTAACCTATAATTGGACATAGATTTGAGTAATGGCAAGAGCGACTAACGAGGACAGTACGTAAGAGTAAATTCTGTACCACAATTTCATTAATGTGAAACCTACTTTCCGACAAGGAAGTTGACTCAGTCCGTCTACACCTTTTGTCTGCTCCGGCGTCGGCGATACTTCTTTGAACTCTCCATTTTTTTTTTCTCTAATTTCCATTTTCTAGTCCCAAACATAAACCATGAAATCAGGCTAATGGAGAAAAAATCCATGGAGAATTCCCCCTTCTTCCTTCTCCTCTTCATCTCCTTGCTTTTCCTCAACATCTCCGGCCAAACAGACACCATAACATCCACCCAATCCATCAGAGACGGCGACACCATTGTCTCCTCGGACGGAACCTTCGAGCTAGGATTCTTCACTCCGGCCAACTCCCAGAACCGATACGTGGGAATCTGGTACAAAGTCACCGACGGAACTCCGGTGTGGGTTGCCAATAGAGAAGCGCCATTGAAGAACAAGTCAGGGGTATTGAAGATCACTCAACCCGCCGGAGTTCTTGCCCTCCTCGACGCTTCTAACCAAACCATATGGTCCACCAACTCCTCCGGCCCGGCCCCGAAAAACCCGGTCGCGCAATTGCTGGGAACAGGGAATCTTGTCGTCCGAGAAGCGGATGATGACAGCCCGGAGAATTTCATCTGGCAGAGCTTCGATTACCCGAGTAATACGTTGCTGGCCGGGATGAAGCTCGGGAAAAACTTGGTCACCGGCCTGGAAATGTTCCTTTCGTCGTGGAAAACCCCCGACGATCCTTCCCCGGGGGAGTATACATATCACTGTGACATCACAGGGTACCCGCAGGACCTCCTGAGAAAAGGGTCAAAAGTGGTTTACAGAGCCGGGCCGTGGAACGGCCTCCATTGGAGCGGCGCACCGAACATGGTAAACAACACCATGACAACGTTCGGGCTGGTTATGAACCCGGACGAGGTTTACTACAGATACGATCTGGTGAACAAATCGGTCATTTCAACTTTGGTCGTGAATTCCGACGGCGACACAGGTCGGAAAACATGGGTGGACAAGATTCACGCTTGGACTAATTACCACTCCACCAAAGCAGACGATTGCGATACCTACGGAATCTGCGGCCCTTATGGTACCTGCAATATTCTTGACGCTCCGGTTTGTCAGTGTTTCGGGAAATTTGTGCCGAAACATCAAGGCGATTGGGACAGCGCGGATTGGTCGGCGGGTTGTGTCCGAGAGGTGGGTCTGAATTGCAGCAGCGATGGGTTTATCAAGTACAGTGGTGTCAAACTGCCCGACACGAATGTTTCCTGGTACAATCGAACCATGTCGTTGGAGGAATGTAAGGATGTTTGCAAGAGAAACTGTTCGTGTATGGCTTACACGAGTTTGGACGTTAGGAATGGAGGAAGTGGGTGTTTGCTCTGGATTGGAGACCTGGTCGACACCAGACAACTTTCTGAAAATGGACAAGATATCTACGTTAGAATGGCCTATTCCGCCTTAGGTAAGTAACCTCAATTACGTCAAAAACTATAGCTCATAGCAGAATCAAACGTTTACTATTACGCCAGCTTCTGCCCAACAATCCCCTAGACATCTGATACTGGAATTGAACCTTCAAGCCTCTGCCCGGCAATCCCTAGGCACCTGGTGCTGGATTTGGTCCATCGGGCCTCGAGCCACTAGAGTACAAGTATTTGGTAGGAGATGAGTATTAATTTTGTTGGATGCAATTTTTTTGGCAGATTCTGAAGATGGGTCTTCTGGGAAAAGAAGAGAGATTCTTACAGTGGGTTTGCCATTAATAATCGCAGGAGTTTTTATAGTCCTGGGATTAGGCACAGTGCTTTATTTCAGGAAAAGGAAGGAGGAGGATCTCCCAGAGCACACAAATAATGGTATGTCAGAAGAAGCATGTTTTCATATCTGTATGTATCTAATGATATTATGAATGCTTATTCGAAATGGTGTCGATCATATTGCAGTTATTCCTGTCCACAACAACAAGAGGGATCCCAGTGGTCCGACGACAAACACTGATGATCTCGAGCTGCCTCAATTCGAGCTGTTTAGAATAACTCAAGCTACAGACAGTTTTTCATTGAACAACAAGATAGGAGAGGGCGGGTTTGGACCTGTTTATAAGGTAGGGATGGATAAAATGAAGGTTCTATTATATATCTTAAGGACATTGTTTGGTAAGCAAATTTTGGGTTGCGAAATCTTATAGGGGGTGCTCGAAGGGGGGCAAGAAATAGCAGTGAAGCGACTCTCGGAAACATCAAAACAAGGGCTCGGTGAGTTCAAGAATGAAGTGATCTGCATTGCGAAATTGCAACACCGAAATCTTGTGAAGTTGTTGGGATGCTGCATTCAAGGACAAGAAGCAATGCTGGTGTATGAATACATGCCTAATAAGAGCCTGGATTTATACATTTTTGGTAAGCATTTTCCACCAGTGTTCTTTCAATTGCACAGAAGATAGTACTAAAATGATGTAGCAGAGAACTAGCTTCAATTTCATTATAGATACTCCAGAAAACTTATATGAAAGGCTTTGACAGATGAAGAGCGGAGTGGATTGCTCGATTGGCCAAAACGCTTCAATATTATCAATGGGATTGCTCGGGGACTTATGTATCTTCATCAAGACTCCAGGTTGAGAATCATCCATAGAGACTTGAAAGCCAGCAACGTTTTGCTTGACATTGACATGAACCCAAAGATATCAGATTTTGGAATGGCTAGAAGTTTTGGAGGGGATGAGACTGGAGCCAACACTCGTCGGGTAGTTGGAACATAGTAAGAACAATTACACCCTCTCCCGACCTCATCCTATATATGTTACATTTACAACACTATCTAAACCTTTAATATAATGCAGCGGATATATGTCACCAGAGTATGCAGTTGACGGGATATTCTCAGTAAAGTCAGACGTGTTCAGTTTCGGTGTCTTGGTATTAGAGATCATAAGTGGAAAAAAGAACAGGAAATTCGTTCATCCCGACCATCACCTAAACCTCCTTGGACATGTAAGTAACATGCGTGCATTGCACTCACTATATATCCTATTCATTCATTAGATCTAACACGATCGACACCATATATTTCTATAGGCATGGATACTCCATAAAGAAAACAGGTCACTGGAACTGGTGGATCCAAAGCTCGTGGATTCATGCCATCTAGGAGAAGTGATTAGATCGATCCACGTAGGATTGTTGTGTGTGCAACAATCTCCAGAAGATAGACCGAACATGTCTTCTGTGGTGTGGATGTTGAGCAATGAAGGTGTTCTTCCAGAAGTGAAGCAGCCTGGATTTTTTACAGAGAGAAGTGTGGTTATTTCTGGTAATCAATCCAGTTGGAGCACACACACACCAAGTACTGTAAATGACATGACCATTACATTGTTAGATGCTAGATAGAACATATGTATGTGTTCTGTTCTGCATGTTATGAACCAGTATCTCGAGTTTTGTACGTATTCTTTCGGGTCTAGCGCCCCAGACAATAATATTACTACTTTTTTATCATTTTTTGTACTTCAATAGTTTAATACCTAATTTATGGTGGACCTGATTCCAACAAAATCATTAAAGCAATCAATAATCATTGAGAATATAAACTATGTACTCTCTACAAAAACCTATGCCTACTAAAATTTAATAAAATAGACTTTTGCTCGATCATCTATGGAATTGAAGAAGAATTGAAACAGGTTTAAACTATTACAAGTATTTTAATTGAAATACATATATTTTAACCATCTGTCCTGTATGACCTAGTATTAGGAGCCAGATCAAATGGACAATGAAATGATTATTATATAATCCGAGAAAAAAATGGCAGATCAGACCAACTTTATATGATGGCGACACGTGCAATATTTAAAGATTGCAGTTCAGATAATCAGATGTAGTTAGGTTTTCATTTTTCATTTTTCTTTTTGGCTGTAAATAGTTTTGCAGTCACCAACACGTCAGGCCACGTATGATCCTGTAAAGTGGTAACGCTTGGCAGAGGATTAAAAAATACCCGCACGGACTTAATTTAATGATTAAATACTGGAAGAAGAGATCAAGATTTAAATTTCGACAGCGATAGTGTGAGAATTATGTCTAAAATGAGCAGATCTCTTGTGCACATCGACATTTAACTCAGTGTCTTCTGAGTTAATGAGTTACCGTGATTTACATCTTCTCAAATATTTTGTCGGGTCAGTGTGTAGGGATCATTGGGGTCGGAGATTCAACCTTTTGGGGAGGAGAAGAGAGTAAAAGAACAATGAGATAACGTCTTAGTCATTTTCACATATATGTTTGAAACGATTTCTTTTGAGTTTAGAATGTGAAAACGAATTCTCTTTTCTGATTAATTGAAACCTAACGTTATCTGTTGATGGGAGCATATAGGCCAATTCAATTTATTTTCATTAATTATAACCTAACGTAGTACCAACTCAATATAGATTACACATTTCAACTTTGACTATATGCAACACCTTTTTAATTGTTTATGTTAATCATCAATAGAGTTAATTCCACACTATCGTTTTTGTTTCTTGTGACAATTCTAAATTTAGTTCCAAACTATCGTTTTTGTCATTTAACATCCCAGACTATTATTTTTTAGACACTTTTAGCCATTTTCATGACTTTTCCTATTTTTAGTAAGGACATTTTTATCCCTTCATATTTTTCTTTTGTTATTTTTTGGGTTTCAATCAGTTTAGGACTTTAGGTAACCTTTGATTTTTAATAACCATATTTTTAACCAGTTTTTAGTAAAGTCCTAAACCAATTAAACCGGTTAAAACTGAAAAAAATGTCCTTACTAACAAAAGAAAAATATGAAGGGACAAAAATGCCCTTACTAAAAATAGAAAAAGTCATAAGAATGACTAAAAGTGTCCAAAAAACAATAGTTTGGGATGTTAAATGACATAAATGATAGCCTGAGACTAAATTTGGAATTGCCACAAAAAACAAGGGACAACTGGTGGAATTAACTCTCATCAATATCATCAAAGACTCTTTGTCAGTGCCTAATCGAAATTAAAAAAAAAAAAAAAAAAAAAAAGAATAAGGGTCAAATAGGCCATCGAACTGCACACAATAATACAATTAGGTCACTGAACTTAAAAAATTACAATTAGATCCCTGAACTAACCAATTTTATGCAATTAGTCTTATTTGTAGGTTTTTCAAGTTGTTAGTAGGTCACCCATTTTCAAAATATTTTTTTAAAAAAAATTATTATTTAAAATAAAAAAAAAAAAAAAAAAAAAAAAAAACCAAATTCACTCCGAACTCTTCGTCTCCCGCCATGGAGACGGAGATAACTTCTTCGTCTCTGGCCGTAGACGAAGGAACCTTCTTCGTCTCCGGCCATAGACAAAGAAGTTATTTCCGTCTCCATGGCCGGAGACGGTATTTTTTTTTTAATTTTAAATAATTATTTTAAATAATAATTTTTAAAAATATTTTAAATTAGAGGTGACCTGCTAATTACCTGAAAAACCTATAAAATGAATTAATTGAATATAATTGGTTAGTTTAGAGACCCAATTGTAACTTTTTTAAGTTTGGTGGTCTAATTGCATTATTGGGTGCAGTTCAATGGCCTATTTGACCCTTATTCCAAAAAATAATGATGAACTCCAACAATTCAATAAAGTCCCAGCTCATCCCATCCTTGAAATTCAAACGTGTTTATTACGTTTTTTCAATGAACTCCTCATCTTATTGAGTGTTATTTTAAAAAAATATAATCGAGTTATTTGAAAATATGAATTAATTGTCTGAAAATTTTAAGATTGAAAAATAACCCCGAGAATTAATTTATCATCTCACTCTTTATGCTTTATTTGGTTTTTGAACATTGAGGGCAATGTATCTATTTAAGTGTGGGGTTGTGTAATTAATTTACTCTCTCTCTTTTATTTCATAATGTAACAAATAAAAATATATTATTTTTAAAAAATTTAGGAGTGAGTAGAAGTTGAGGTTAGAAAATGAGAGTATGCATAGTATTTTTTTTTCTTTTTTCTATTCATGGCCAACAAAAGACAAATTTCGCGCCTCAAGAGTCTTTATACTCCAACTTATTGTAAATAGATAACTCACAGTAATTCAGTGACTCATTCAATGGAAAGGCAAAGTGCCCGGTACTTTTGAAAGATTATACAACATCTACCATTTCTTTAATTTTTCAAATTCTAAAGGAGAGTGAAACAATGGAAGTGTGAATACAAGAATTCCTTCACTGCGGATCTACCTAGCATCTAACAATGTGATGGTCATGTCATTTACACTACTTGGTGTGTTTACATTCCCAGAGTATTGCTCAGAAATAGCCACATTTCTCTCCGTAAAAAATCCAGGTTGCTTGGCTTCTGGCAGAACACCTTCATTGCTCAACATCCATACCACAGAAGACATGTTCGGCCTATCCTCTGGAGATTGTTGCACACACAACAAACCAACATGGATCGACCGAGCCACCTCGGCTAGGTGGCATGAACCAACCAGTATTGGATCCACCAGTTCCATTGACCTGTTATCTTTATAAAGCGTCCATGCCTATTGAAATATATGGTATAATGTTAGGCCTACTCGTTAGGCGAACAAATGAGTAGAATAGTGAGTAGAGGGCTTGTTACTTACATGTCCAATGAGGTTTAGTTGATGGTCGGGATGAACGAATTTTCTGTTCTTTTTCCCGCTTATAATCTCTAATACTAGCACACCGAAACTGAATACATCTGACTTTATTGAGAATATCCCGTCAACTGCGTATTCTGGTGGCATATACCCACTGCACCAAAGTGTGGATGAGGGATTAGATACAGTTGTAAAGACAACATAGGATATGAGAGGAGGTAGCTAGGGTGTGATCGTTCTTACAATGTTCCAACCACACGATTAGTGTTGGCTCCTGTCTCGTTCCCTCCAAAACTTCTAGCCATTCCAAAATCTGATATCTTCGGGTTCATGTCAGTGTCAAGTAAAATGTTGCTTACTTTCAGGTCTCTGTGGATGATTCTTAGCCTAGAGTCTTGATGAAGATACAGGAGTCCTCGAGCAATTCCATTGATAATATTGAAGCGTTTTGGCCAATCAAGCAATCCACTCTGCTCTTGATCTGTCAAAACCTTCATATAAGTTCTGGTGATAAAGAAACTAAGCTAGGTGCTAGTTCTGTGCATCTAAAACAACACCATTTGATGGCAAATGCTTACCAAAAATGAATGAATCCAGACTCTTATTAGGCATGTATTCATACACAAGCATTGCTTCTTGTCCTTGAATGCAGCATCCCAACAGCTTCACAAGATTCCGATGCTGCAGTTTTGCAATGCAGATTACTTCGTTCTTGAACTCAACAAGCCCTTGATTCGAAGTTTCTGAGAGCCGCTTCACTGCTATTTCTTGCTCCCCTTCTAACACCCCCTATAAGATTTCACAACCCAAAATCTGATAAGTCTTTGTAGCATTTTTCTAGCAGCAATGCCCTTAAGTTATATGATAGAATCTTCATTTTATGCATACCTTATAAACAGGTCCAAAGCCACCCTCTCCTATCTTGTTGTTGAATGAAAAATTGTCTGTAGCTTGAGTTATTGTAAACAGATCAAACTGAGGTAGCTCCAGATCATCAGTGTGTGTCGGAACACTGGAATCCTTCTTGTTCTTGTAGCCAGGAATAACTGCAATATGATCAACATCATTTTGAATAAAAGTCCATATTATCACATTCATACAAATATCAAAATGCTTCTTCTGCCATACCATAATTCTTGTGCTCCGGATGATCCTTCTTCCATTTCCTGAAATAGAACACTGTGCCTAACCCCAGGACTACAAGAACTGCAGCAATTATTAATGGCAAACCCACTGTAACAATCTCTCTTCTTTTTCCAGAAGATCCATCTTCAGCATCTGCCCAAAAAAAAATTGGATCCAACAAATTTGATACTTGTCTCCTACCAATAGTAATAAAAAGTGTAATTTGTGGGTATATATAACTCCAACCAAGTTGGCCGGACTGTTAGCTTAGTAACTACATGGTTGCAAGTTTGACTCTTAGTGGAGCAATCTATTGGCTTTCCTAGTTTAAGCCGATCGGCTATGTCCAAACTAGGATGATTTATCTCTTATGATCCTTTAACGAGATTTACACCCTTAGTAATGACTACGATTTTCCGGTGACTAAAACAAAGGCCCTGGCGCCCTGCTTAGTAGCATATTTAACTTATCAGCCAATTTTGACCACTATTAGCTGTTTGACTTGGTTAAACAATCAATATGAATGTTTGATTAATTAGCTTTTTGTAACAACTTATTGCTCCAAAATGCTAAAATTTTAAAAACTGTTCAATGTAGTTTTTTGAGAAAGTCATTTTGCATGTAATCAGCTATCAGCTAACAGCTAATTTACCAAATATTTTTCTACAATCAGCTAATTCTATCAATTAGTTAAACCCACTAACCCAATCAGCTAACGGCTATTGTAATTTGTTGCATTCTATGGAGAAGTTGAGGTTTCTTAGTTCTTACCCAATGCAGAGTAGGCCATTCTAATGTAGATATCTTGTCCATGATCAGAAAGTTGTCTAATGTCAACCAGGTCTCCAAGCCAGAGCAAGCACCCACTTCCTCCATTCCTAATGTCCAAACTAGTATAAGCCATACACGAACAGTTTGTTGCGCAAACATCCTCACATTCACCGAGCGACATGGTCTGGTTGTACCAGGAAACATTTGTGTCGGGCAGTTTGACACCACTGTACTTGAGAAACCCATCGCTGCTGCAATTCAGACCCACCTCCCGAACACAACCCGCCGACCAATCCGCCCTGTCCCAATCGTCTCGATGCTTGGCCACAAATTTGTCGAAACACCCACACACCGGAGCGGCCGCCGTGTTACAGGTGCCATAAGGCCCACACAATCCATACGAATCGCAATCATCTATTTTGGTTGAGTGGTAGTTAGTCCAACCGTGGGTTCTATCCACCCATGTCCGCCGCCGTGTATCGCCGTCAGGATTCACCACCAGAGTTGAAATCACCGACTTGTTCACCAGCTCGTATTTGTAGTAAATCTCGTCCTTGCTTATAACCACCCCGTATGTGGTCATGGTGTTGTTTACCATGCTGGGTGCGCCGCTCCAACGAACACCATTCCACGGCCCCGCTCTGTAAACCACTTTCGACCCTCTTCTCAGAAGGTCCTGCGGGTACCCTGTGATGTCACAGTGATATGTATACTCCCCCGGCGCAGGATCCTCGGGGCTCTTCCACGACGAAAGATACACTTCCAGACCGGTAACCAAGTTTTTCCCGAACTTCATGCCGGCTAACAATGTATTACTCGGGTAATCGAAGCTCTGCCAGATGAAATTTTCCGGGCTATCATCATCCGCTTCTCTCACGACAAGATTCCCTGTTTCCAGCAATTGCGCGACCGGGTTTTTCGGGGACGGGCCGGAGGAGTTGGTGGACCATATGGTTTGGTTAGAAGCATCGAGGAGAGAAAGAACTCCGGCGGGTTGACTGATCGTCAACACTCCTGACTTGTTCTTGAGCGGCGCTTGTCTATTGGCAACCCAGACAGGGGTTCTGTCAGTGAGTTTGTACCAGATTCCCACGTATCGGTTCTGGGAATTGGCGGGAGTGAAGAATCCTAGCTCGAAAGTTCCGTCCGAGGAGACAATGGTGTCGCCGTCTTTGATGGATTGGGTAGATGTTATAGTGTCTGTTTCAGAGGAGATGTTAAGGAAAAGCAAGGAGATGAAGAGGAGAAGGAAGAAAGGGGAATTCTCCATGGATTTCTCCATTACCCTCTCATCCTGTTTGTTTGGAACTGGAAATTAGAGAGGGTAGACACATTGAATCTTCGAAGTTCAAAGAAATATCTTAGGAGCAGATCGACTAAGGAGGTAAACTGACCGAGTCAACGACTTCCCACCCCTAAACTAACGTTTTGGTGATAAAATTAATGAGCAAATACCAATTTTAGTCTCACGACTATTAGCAAAACAACAGTTCAATTTTTATCCATCATTATTGTTTTAGGACCAATTTTTTTCAACACCTATTATTTTAGTACCAAAATTTATTAGTCACTCTTTTGTTTAAGACATGCTGAAATATGAAATTATTAAAGGTATCTTCGTCATTTACAAATTAAGATCTCAATTTGAGTATAAATAAAAAAATTTAAGCTCTAAGATCGATCGCAATTCGCAGTTCTCCTTCTCAAATTAAGATAGGATGAGGAGGAGAACTGCGAATTGAGGTCGATCTTATGACTTAAATCCATTTATTAATGCTCAAATTACGGTTTTAAGTTGGAAAAGAATGAAAATACCCTTAAAATTTTTAGATTTCGGCATGTTTTAAAAGGAGGAGTGACCGGCATGATGAATTTTAACACTAAAGCAATAATCGTGGATGAAAAGTGATACTAAAACAATAATTGTAAATAAAAATTTGTATGAATTAAACATGTAGACCAAAATTATCATTTTACTAATACTAATGGGACTACAAATTTGTATTTGCTCTAAAATTTACTATTATTGTCTGGGCTACACTGCATGTCATGCTCTTGTCATTAATCAAGATATTTATATTTTCTCACATCTATACTTCCATTGTCTTAATATAGCATGTGAGAAGAGCTAAATCAGATACTGGCCGAGTTTTTAACTTTAGTTTTTTTTTTTTTTTTTTTTTTCAAATACTGACTATTAAACCAATAAACTAAATATGTACGGACTATGTTCTCATTTTTTTTTACTGATGTGACATGCTTTGATTGCTTAATATAATAAGGGTCATGATTTTTATTCATTTTTTTTTCTTCCAACAAAATTTGAACACTTAGTGGGAGTAAAAGTTATAAGTAGGTTTTTGGAGTCCAAGTACTCCTATTTATATTTTACGACTGAAAACTCGAGTCATAAACCGGTAAAATCAAATGTGATACAAATTACAAAGTCATGTACCTAATTTAAAAATATTAATAGTCAAGAACCAAATGTGATATAAATTACATAGTCATGCACCTAATTTGAAAATATTAAAATTTATTTTTAAAAAAAAGACAAATAAGCCCCTAAACTTTACTTAAAAAGTCAATTAGTCTCACCACCACCCCACCCCCCCCCCCCCCCCAAACTTTGAAAAAGTTCAATTACACTCTTTAACATGGTATATTGAAGCAGTCCAAAATCCAATAAATGACATGCTATTACAAGTCAATAGGATTCCAACATCAATTTTATTTATCTCCTGCGACAATCGTGTGGCCTGTGACCGACGACGGGCGGCGGCCGAACTGTCACCGGTCACCGTCTACTAGAAAAGGAAACCAATTGGTCGCTTTCTCTGGCGGAATACGACCAACTGGCTACATTCCTGACAGAGCAACTGGTAGACGACGACGGGTGACAGTTCGGTCATCGCTAATCGCTGAATTTTTGTTAACGATGAATAAAATTGATGTCAGAAATTTAATGACCTGTAATAGTAAGTTATTTATAAATTGTTAGACATCATTACTTCAATGAGTTAATACCCAAAATTGTCCTCGACTATAGTGATTTTCTCAATTTCGTCCTAAATGACTTTGGTGACCTAATATTGTCCCAGACTTTTGTGTTTCGCTCAATTTAGTCCTCCGTTTGTTATTCCGTCAAATTGGTGTTAAATAAAGGGACAATTCAATAATATCAATATTGACATCTCTTTACTTTCAACATGCGAAGTGAGAAATCCTTCTTTCTTGCACGAATTACACCCAGAATTACTTCCAGACCTACGAATCAAGTTTTATATTCGCAGGTTTAAGAGTGATTTTGGGAGTAATTCGTAAAAAAAGATGTTCGCACTTCACATGTCTATGAGTAAAGAGATGTCAATATTAAAATTACTGAATTGTCTATTTATTTAACAACAAATGGACGGAATAACAAATAGGGGACTAAATTGAGCAAAAACACAAAAGTTTAAGACTAAATTGAATAAAAACACAGAACTCTAGGACTATATTAAGTCATTAAAGTCGTTTAGGACAAAATTGAGAAAAACTATTATAGTCAAGGACCATTTTGAGTATTAACTCTTACTTTAATATAACATGTTAAATAATATAATTATGGAGTACAATTTTTTAAAAAGTTTAGGGAGCTAATTTAACTTTTCGGGTAAAATTAACGAGGTTATTGAACCCTTTTTCCAAATTCATTCTTACTAATTCCTAATTTCTCTATTTGCAACGCTTTTTCCGGCTCGTCTGCCCCTCTCCCATTCTCTGTATTCTCTGTCGACTGCTCGCGACAACTTAATCTCTCAGTCAATAGCTCTCTCTCTCTGGTGGCGTTGTGGGAATTGACGCCGGTTGTACTGTGCGAAAGTTCGTTCTCTCTCGCCGATGCTCTTTCTCGCTTGGTTCAAATTTTAGATGTTAGAGCAATAGAGTTTGCTTCAAGGTAATAATGTTGCTTGATTTGTTTGCCATGTGTTAATAAATAACAATTTATAGTGACATTGGATTTGCTCGATCTCTTAGATGTTAGAATTGACACCAAAGGCAAGTTTTGAAAGTTGTGATTCTTGTGAGGATTCATGCCTGGCTGTTAAAATAGTTAGTATTAACTATCTTATTATGTTGATGTATATGAACTTGATGCTGCTGTTTTTCAAGTACTCTTTTTCATTGTTAATCCACTTGCACAGTTGCACTGCTTTAGAACTATCTGTCTGCAGAAGAGTTAATAACCAAAATTCTCCCTTGACTATGATATAATTGACAAATTAGTCATCCACTATCAATTTTACCAAATTAAGACCGGACCTTATTGAGTAAGAATTGAATAAATTAAGTACCCTAAGAACTGAATAGTTGAAGACTTAATTTGGTAAAATTGATAGTAGGACTAATTTGTAAATTATGACATAGTCCAGGACGATTTTGGTTAGTAACTCTCTGCAGAATGATATGCAAAGAAGCTTGTCTTCTTGATTATGCTATTGCACATGTAATATTTTACATGTAAAATGACAATATCTAGTTCATAATTCATACAGAGATGATTATTATTGTCTCTGGCATTACTTTTGTTTTGTACCTAATCTGTGAAATATATGAGCTAACTTTCTAGCTGCTATGTGCTTTTGTAAATAATATGTTTATATTTTAGATGGAATTTAAGAATATCTCGAGATTTTGGTATTGTGGTTTGGTTTTATGTGTGTGGTAACAAGAATAGGATGCATATATGGGAATTAAAGTTAATTCTCCACATATTATGGTAAATTTATTGCAGTAATCAATCTCTCACTCTGAAAATGTTTTTATGGCAAATGGTATTTGATTTGTATTTCGAGAATTATGTCTATTAATCTGTGGAGGATTAAAATCTTAGTTTTAATATCTGGATCTTAACAGAACGGTTGTGTGCTCATTTATTAGGGAAAATGATTTTACTCAAGTTTTGGTGCGTTCCCAGGGATATACTTTGAGATGTTTTCTTAGAATTGTCTAACCACATATGGAAGATGCTTATTTGCAGAACTTGGACTATTCACTTGAGAAGGAACCTCTATTGCTCCTAAAGAAACCATAGCGAATAAGAATCTTTAAGCTCACTAATATTCTTGCTCTGAAACTCTTCTGTGTTTAGAATTTCAGATGGCATTTAGAGGGAGAGGACGAGGACGTGGTGGATTTGGCGGTGGATTCAGAATAGCCAAGCAGGAATCATACGAACTATTTCCAAAAATCAACGATCAGGACTTGGGTAATGCATCAACTGTGACTGAAAGGGTATCTTTAGCAAGATGGTATTTAAAGTTGCAGAACTACTGGAATTCCTCTCCTTATTATCTTGGAGGTGAAAGTGATACTTCGAAGAAAACAAAAAGTATGGATATAGAAAGGTTTTCAGATAGGAACTCTGATACAGCCAAGGCAAAGCGTCCACTTTCGCATTTCATTACAGTGGACCCTGCCTATTTTCCTGGTGAATTAGCTAGAGGTGGGACGACAGGGAGGCGTGCTGCAAAAAGAGTTCGCTGGAATGAAGACAAAGATTTGCAAAAACTGGATCTCTTTGAGAAGCTCGAACAGAAGTCCAAGGGCCAGGATGAAAAGAAAACAAATGAAGGTGAAGATGATGAGGAAGAAGAGGAGAATATCGAAGAGGAAGAGCAAGAGGATGATGAAGATGGTGACTATATGCGGCCATTTGATTTCGATGATGATGAAGATGACTTCAACATTGTTGATGACAATGATGATGAGGGAGGTACCTTCTGAAAGATACTGCTTCAATGATTTTGCTAGCTAGGCTTACATCTCGGTAACAATGTTCAGACTGACTCCTAGTTGAAAGTTAAAAATTAGTACCCGGAGTACATTTTATTAGCACTTTTAATGAGGATATACATTATTATTATTATTTTTTAAATCTATAGGGTATTTTATACTTACACAATTTATTGTAGATTAGCATGACATTTGTGTTGGGTTTTGAATGGGTCTTCCGTCTAGAGTTGATTGGAGACATTTTTAGTCTCCTAAGAGTGTTTTATTCTTTTAGCAAATTGACATGTGAAGATGTCTTTAGTATATCTTTATCTTTACGGTTGGCCTTTTAAAACTTGGAAGTCAAGTACTGCTAAGAATGTTTATATATTTTCCTTCAACTATGCCAAATTGTACTGTGTTATTTAATTTAATTATGTTGTTTTAAGGCTAAAGCTTATTCTATTATATATATATTTTTTAGAATGTTTGACATAGTTGATTTAGCTTGTAGTTGTGTGTGACAAGATGCCTTTTTTGTTGTGTATAACTGAATATGTTTTCCTTGAAGTGTGCTAAAAGCTATTTCAAATAGAATACTCTATGGTACTACGTATTAAATTTAGATTGTGCGGGCATGTTATAGTTTTGTTCAATACTCTTAATATTTTAAAAAGTAATTTAATATATGAAAAAGGACTCAAGCTAACTAACAACACTTTGTGTGTGGATAAAAGGAAATTATCGGAACTTAATCAAGGAGAGACAAAATACAATACAATATTATGAGGACAATAGATTCTGTAATTAAGAGAAAATATTTTTCAATTTTTACCGTCTAAAAGGTAGTGATAGTGTTAATTGATCCAGCATATATATGAATTGATCAACAACTGTATGAAATAATAGAAAAATGTATAAACTGTATAGAGTGTGTATATAAAAATGTATGAGATGAGGAAAATATTGACTTTGGTTAGCCATTAAATAATCATTATGACAAAGAAACATACTTAGAGAAGACTTTGAATCTTTATTGCAGAGAAGAAGAAAAAGGAATTGCTTCCCTTGTGCTGAAGGGTTAGGTTCCTTATATAGGGTCGGGTTAGGGTCCTTATATAAGTGGAGACTCTGATCCTTCAAAAATAAAATATTTCTTAAAAAATACTCGATTTTGATCCAAATATTAAATAGATGCAAAAAAAAAATATACTCGAAAAATAATCCTTATCGGATACAAATACACCGACAAAGTCATCCTAAGATTTAAATAAAAAGCAAGTTGCAATGCTCCATGGCCATCATTGGCCGCTGTCTATGTCTGCTGGGAAATATTTGTTGACTGTTAAACTCATTTTATGATTATTAAAAGGCCGCCACACATTTCCATAATTCCACGCCACCCAAAATAAATCAATTCAAAAGTCAATACTGGCAATTCCAAATTATGTTTTCTTTTCAATTTTTTTCCAAAATAAAGTAATTTGAAATTTAATTTAAGAATACTTTTAAATTTATTTTTCAAAGTAGGAAGAATTGTTACGTTCAATATTGTCATATTTAAAAACTACATTAAAAATACTATCAAACACAAAAAAAATAATTAAAAATATTAAAGAAAATAAGCAAAGTAAAAAACAAAACTTATTTGACCAATGAATAATATTAAACAAAACAGATAAAATAAGACATGGAGAGTATTAGATAATAAAATTTTTAAAATGTTAATAATATAATCTCTAGGAAATTCTTCAATGCCGACCATCCCTGATACCATCATGTATTTCATGCATGCTTATACCGTGTATTATTAGTAAAAGTTTCTATCATACCTGTTAGTCTTCTTGATTTGAGCCGGTACCTAGATCGATTTACATTTTTGTGATCTTTTGTGGACTAGGATCACAAGACGGGATTTATTCAATGAACACTTTCGAGTAATGGCTGCAAGCTTCCTTCATCACCAAATTAAAAAAAAAAAAAAAAAAAAAAAAAAAAGAGTTTCATACTACTTGAGGAAAGAGTAGTCATTGGCCCTGTTTGGTAAAATGGCTATTGATAGTTGTTAGTTGTTAGCTGATTGTGTTAATTAGAGGGTATAAATAGTTGATAATATTAGCTGATTGTAGAAAAGTGTTTGGTAAATTAGCTGTTAGCTGATAGCTGTTTGGTATAATTTCTTTTCTCAAAAAGCTAATTGAAAAAGTTGCTTGGAGTAGCTTTTTGAATTTTAGCCTTTTGGAGTTGCAAAAAGTTAATTAATCAAACATTTATATTGATATTTTAACTAAATCAAACAATTAATAGTGGTCAAATAAGTCAAAATTGGTCTATAGGCCAATTTTTTACCAAATAGGGCCATTGACAAATCCATAGCCATTTACCTCATAAACATGATGTGTTGATTCAAAGCTCACGTAACTATATCAATTAATAAAAAAGGCATCATATTATATTCATATTCAGTGGCCTCAGAAAAAGGAAGGCATAGAGGTGTAAGAATGAGTGCATCAAGGAATGGCTGCTTATTCCTATTCTTCCTACTATCCTTACTCCTTCCCATTAAAAGGAGTTTCAGTGCAACAGACACCATAACTACAGCTCTGTCTCTACATGATGGTGGTGATGAGACCATTGTTTCATCGCCTAATGGAACCTTCGAACTCGGGTTCTTCAGTCCTGACAAAACGAAAAACCGATATGTAGGCATATGGTACAAGAACATATCTGTCAGAACATATGTCTGGGTTGCCAACAGAGAAGCCCCTCTATATAATACAACAGGGATCCTTAAGGTCATCAAACCTGGGATTCTAGTTCTTGTCAATGGTAGTAATGGTGTTGTATGGTCAACTAATACCTCAAGGTCAGTGAAGGATCCAATAGCACAGTTACTGGATTCTGGGAATCTTGTAGTAAGAGATGCAGATGATGGGAATCCAGAGGATTCCCTCTGGCAGAGTTTTGAATATCTCACGGATACATACTTACCGGGGATGAATTTAGGGTGGGATTTTGTGACGGGGCATGAAACATACCTGTCATCTTGGAAGAACCATGAAGATCCAGCTCCTGGGGAGTTCACCTATCGGGTTGATCGAGATGGCTATCCACAGAATGTCTTGGAAAAGAGGTCAGTCCTGCAGTACAGATCAGGGCTGTGGAATGGTTTGCGTTTTACTGGATCACCAAACTCGAGACACAGTCCCTTCTACAGAATCGGGTTCGTGTTTAACCAGAAAGAAGCATACTTCACTAATCACCTCCTCAGTCCAGTTCTCACAAGGGCTGTTCTGAATCAGAACGGCGTTCTAGAACGCTGGATTTGGATTGACCGGACCCAGGAATGGATTCTTTACCTCGAGTCACCAACAGACAACTGCGATACTTACAAGCTGTGCGGTGCATATGGCAGCTGCGACATACAAACTTCCCCAGTATGTGGATGTCTGGACAAGTTTGAGCCCAGACATCCCGAGGATTGGCTTAGGGCAGATTGGTCAGGCGGTTGTGTTCGCAGGATAGCTCTTAACTGCACTGAAGGAGACAAGTTTCTCAAGTACTCCAGTATCAAATTGCCAGACACACAGAAATCTTGGTTCAATCAGACTATGACACTCGAAGAATGCAAGGCAGTTTGCACGAAAGATTGCTCTTGTATGGCTTACTCAAACATTGATATACGCAATGGAGGATCGGGGTGTTTAATATGGTCTGAAGATCTACTAGACATTAGAGTGATACCCATGGGAGGGCAAGACATTTATATTAAAGTGGCAGCCTCTGAAATAGGTATGATCTTGGACTCAATAGCTAACAGTTTTCTTATGTTGGCAAATGTTAAACAACCTCAGAAATAGAAAGCATATGCCAAGGACCTTGTGGTCTAGTGGCACCAAGTTGCTCTCCCATATCAGAGGTTGTGGGTTCGAGCCTCAGTGGAGGTGGTATTGACTCTTTGTGCTTCAGTAGGTTGAGAAAGTAGTTATGAACAGATACTGCATTGTAACAGAGTCAATAGTACTCAAAAAAGAAAGCATATACCTGAAAATATAATTTCTTCCAAGTCATGGTAGCACTAGTTTCAGTAGGTGCAACCTGTAACACAGAGAGGGAGGAGTTGAATGTGTTAATGTTCTTAGCATAGTTTCAGAGTACAAATATTAAAACAAGAAGCAACGTATAGATGAATTTAGAATGAAACAACATAAGAATATTAATGATTGTTTGCTCACATAAGAAAAGTTCTTGAATCCAGAATTCAATTTTCTTTTACTGATTTTTTGCAGTCACCCAAGAAGGATCAAATGGAAAGAAAGGAAAGATAATCATCATTATCCTGCCATTATTAATTGGAATAGTTCTGCTAAGCCTGATTCTGGTGGTTTATTGTAGAAGAAGGAAGAAGGGTTCAGATGTCAGAAGTACAGGTAAGCAGAGCAATTCATACGTGTTCTGAATTCCAAAAAAGAGATCAAATAATTGTCTAGATTCCTTAGTTTAAACAAAAGCCACACCATCATTCATATTGTAGGAACTTCAAGGTGGCCTAGTTACAACTATGAAGGTAGCAATGAAAACCAAAATGAGGAGTTTGAGCTAACAGTATTTGACTTAGCTTCAATAAGTAAAGCTACCAACAACTTTGAGCTCAAGAGCAAACTCGGAGAAGGAGGCTTTGGACCTGTTTACAAGGTAACCATTATACAGCCTTTGGCATTTCTCTATACAAAAACTCTTTGGTGTGTTAGCAGAATGCTTTTATTGGTTTCTTCAATAACACCTTGAGTCTCAATTGTTGTATAGTATACGTGCAAACTTTGACTCACTAAACATGTAATCTTTAGGGTGTCCTAGGAGGACAGGAAATAGCAGTGAAGCGCCTCTCACAAACATCTACACAAGGACCCATGGAGTTCAAGAATGAAGTAGAGTACATTGCAAAACTTCAGCATCGTAATCTAGTGAAGATGTTAGGCTGCTGCATTGATGGAGAGGAAAAATTGTTGATCTATGAGTACATGCCAAATGGAAGTCTTGATACATTCATATTTGGTATGCCCTTCCCTAAACTATAGCCATCATTCATTCATTTGAACCAATAGTAGATGCACACAAAGCCATAAAGTACGAAAGACCTTAGCAAATAAGAGCTTCGAAATATTAGTATTTCAAATTGGCCATTTATTGCTGTAAGATAGTGAAAAAACAGATGGCAGATGATAACGCTATATGAGAATTACTGCAGATGAGTCAAAAAGCAGGTTGCTAGATTGGCCTAAACGCTTTCAAATTATCAATGGGATTGCTAGGGGGCTCATGTATCTTCATCAAGATTCTCGATTGAGGATCATTCACAGAGATCTCAAAGCTAGCAACATTTTGTTAGATGACAATATGGAGCCCAAGATATCAGACTTTGGCATAGCAAGGTGTCTTTTGGGGAACGAGATAGAAGCCAAGACAAACCGAATAGTTGGAACATAGTAAGATTATATTCTTAACAACATTTCATTGTAAACCACCTTCATCACTTCTAACATGATTTTCTTTCATGCAGTGGCTACATTTCACCGGAATATGCAGTACATGGGCTCTACTCAGTAAAGTCGGATGTATTTAGCTTCGGGGTCTTGGTTTTAGAGATTATAAAAGGGGAGAGGAATACAAAATTCTTTCTTCACGATCAAGGCATCAATCTTCTCGGACATGTATGCACTACAACTCCTATAACTAATTTATGTTTCAATTCATTCAAGGTAAATCATGCCAGAAGGGTCTAATTTCTACAGGCATGGAAACTCTATAAAGAAGGAAGATCATTGGAACTACTCGAGCCACATCTAAGTGCCACAGACACTATGTCAACATCCGAAGTTCTACGGGCAATTCACGTGGGACTATTGTGTGTGCAACAACGTCCAGAAGACAGGCCATGCATGTCTTCTGTGATTCTAATGCTGAATAATGAAGGCGTGTTGCCTCAAGCTAAACAGCCGGGTTTTTTCACAGAAGACAACGGTGCCTATTGTTCTAACTCCAGTGCATCAACAACTGGGATCACCATTACAACATTAGACCCACGCTAGAAAGTGCACAAATCCTACTCTTCAAAATGTAAATGCCTTATCCTTGCAAAGGTGAGTCTTTGGTATCATGCTTCATTCATAGAGTAATTTTATCAAACAGTTGGCAGGCAGCCAGGCACAGAGCTTTAAACGTTTGGATTAAAATTTTCATTTTTATCCAAACATTTACAAATCAAGCATATTGCTAACATGTAAACCTAACCAGAAATATTCACGTGATGAAGTATAAAAGAAGCTTACGCTGAAGCAACTATTTCCAGCATTAGCCGTACAATTCCACGTCTCCATGCTTTTATTTATTTATTTTTCGTGTAAGAAAATAAATTTTTGTCTTATTTTACGTATGAGTTAATACCCAAAATCGTCCTCGACTATAGTGATTTTTCTCAATTTCGTCCTAAACGACTTTGGTGACCTAATATCGTCCCAGACTTTTATGTTTCACTCAATTTAGTCTCAGACTTTTGTGTTTTTGCTCAATTTAGTCCCTCATTTGTTATTCTGTCCATTTGGTGTTAAATAAATAAACAATTTAGTAATTTTAATATTGACATCTCTTTACTCATAGACATGTGAACTGCGAAATCCTTTTTTTTTTACGAATTACCCCCAAAATTACTCCTAAAACTGCGAATATAAAATTTGATTTGCAGGTTCGGGAGTAATTCTGGGTGTAATTCGTACAAGAAAGAGGAATTTCGCACTTCACAAGTTGAACGTAAAGAGAGATCAATATTGACATTACTGAATTGTCCCTTTATTTAACACCAATTTGACGGAATAACAAATGGAGGACTAAATTGAGCGAAACACAAAAGTCATGGACGATATTAGGTCACCAAAGTCGTTTAGGACGAAATTGAGAAAAACCACTATACTCGAGGACGATTTTGGGTATTAACTCTTTTACGTATTCAGTCAAATATTATTTATTCGTTTATTCCCTTTATTTTTAAAATTTTAAATTTAATATTTTTTTGTGCTTAATAAAATTTTTAAAATACTTTTTAAATATATAAATTAAATTTAATAATATTATAAAATTGAATTACAAATAATTTGAGTCAAGTTTAGTTAGCCAAATCAAATCATTAAAATTGGAGGGAGAAATAGTATACAACATGAAATTGAAATCTTATTAAAAATAAAAAAAATACTAAATATAAAGTTTGGACTATGAAATATGTAAGAAGAGATTTTTTGTATAAATCTTAATACAAACTTTAGTAGAAATATAGAAATACAATCAAACTAATGTTATATCTTAATACCAAACCCGGAAAAAGAAATGCAATCAAACTAATACAAATAATATTCTTAATGCTTCCTTCAAGAGGAGGCCAAAGCTTTAGTGAAAATATCAGATGAAGTAAACTTGTAACTACTTGAAAGCAATTGTCTCAAACAAAGTAATAGTCAATCTCAACATGTTTGATTCGTGCATGAAAAATGGGATTAACACACACATAAGTAGCTTTCAAGTTATCACACCACAACACTGGAGCAGCAATTGAAGGAACAACCAGTTCATTCAAAAGAGAGACTAACCACATTACCTCAACTACACCATTCAAACGAGAGACTAACCACATTATTACCTCAACTACACCATCATCTACACAACTTTGTACTCTGCTTCAGTTGATGACCTAACAACGGTCTTTTGCTTCCTATAAGCCCATGAGACGGGATTGGAGCCAAGAAATATAGCAATGCCACTCGTGAATTTACGTTCATCAAGACAACCAACCTAGTCAACAGGAGTATATATATGAATATCCATGGAAACAAATCTAGTAAAATGAAGACCACAATTAAGAGTATCTTTAACATATCGAAACAATCTCTTCATTGAAAGCAAATGATCTTCAATAGGAGCATGCATATGTTGACATAGTTTATTAACTGCAAAACAAATATCAGGTCAAGTCAAAGTAAGATATTGCAAGGCACATGTCATTCAATGATAAATGGTAAGATTTTCAAACAAGGCACCAATGCCTGAAACATATGTTGAAACTAAAATAGGTTTTTTCATAGATTTATAATAATGCAAACATGCGTTGTGCATAATGTCATCCTTCATCCTTGTACTTTTTCTAAGATAGAATCAAGTCTCCATGATCGCATAAGACCTCAATGACCAAAAATTAGTTAAGGACTCCAAAATCTCAGATCTTAGAGGTGCTTGGAGATAATAGAATTAAAGAACACATGATTTATTACCAATAATTAAAATATCATCTACATACACAAACAGATATATAAAGTTACAATTGGTCAAATAGATGAACAAAGAAACATTCAAGATGAAAATCAATGGCAAAGAGATGGTCATGCAAATAGTTGAACCAAACACGAGCTGAGGTGCTTACTTAATAAGGAACATTGCAACTAGCACACATAATAATGGAAGGATTTATAAACATAGCCAGGGGTTGTTTCATGTAGACAACCTCATCAAAATTACCATTCAAGAAGGCATTATAAACATCTAATTATCGAATTGACTTGCAACTATGAGTTACAACAAGAGCAATCATTAGCTAAATAGTAGTGGACTTCACAACAAGATTGAAAGTGTCAGCGTAGTCCTCCGCTTAATTGATTGAATCTTTTGGCTACAAGTCGTGCCTTATTGTGCTCAATGGTCTCATTTGCCTTACGTTTCACATGAAACACCCACTTGCAACTAATGACGTTCTTGAGATGGAGCTTGATAATGAATCGCCCTGATCGATGATGTTGATCTTCGAAGAGGTGTTATGCTGATGTGTCGCCATGAATGTGTTAGAAAATGAAGTAAAAAAGAGCGATGAATGATGATGATGGCAAAAAAAAAAAAAAAAGGTTCAGGATGTGTAATCTGATACCATATTAAAGTATGTATAAAGAGACTTTCTTATATTGTATTGTGCAATCGTATTAAGAATGTACCATATATCAAGTGATTGAGTTTGATTGTATTTTCTTTAGGGTTTGTATTAGGATTTGTACATGTCTCCTATATATACATGCATTAGGATTTGGACAGCCTATTTGTATATTTAATTATTTATACATTGTGACAATTATATCCAAATCTTTAAAACTTAGACTCTGTTTGGTAAACATAGCTGAAAAGCTATAAGCTAGGAGCTGAAAGCTGAAAAAGAGCTGAAAGCTGAAAAGTTATAAGCTCGGAGTTGAAAACGGAAGAGCGGTTAAGCTAGCCGTTATGATTGAAAGTGTTTGGTAAATTTAGTTTTTTGATAAGCTGATAAATGTAAAAAGACTAAAAAGGACATCTTCATAAAATTTAAATTAGTTTATTTACATATTAAAATTTAATATTATGTCTTTTAAAAAATTAACATTTTAAAATAAAACTATTAGCATAATCATGATCTAACATCTCATAATGAAGTAGCAATATTGAAGCAAATGTAATAATAATAATAATAATAATAATAATAATAATAATAATAATAATAATAATAATAATAATAATTATTATTATTATTATTATTATTATTATTATTATTATTATTATTATTATTATTATTATTATTATTATTATTATTATTATTATTATTATCTACATCTACAATTATAATAAGAGCCAATAATGTTAGGCCCTTAACTGGAATAAAAAAATGTCAATAGTACTTGTTTCTTAAAATGAATGGTTCATAGTATTTTGATTTTAGTATTTTTAATGATTTTCCTTATTTACCCTTTATTATATTATTTTCTTTCCTTAAATAACCTTAAATTCCGTTAGTATAAACTTTATTAACGGAATATTCCGTTAACTATTTATTATTCTTAACTTACTCATTAATTTCTATAAGAAAGGTCTTAGGTTCGAACATCATTCCAATTAGAGTTAGCATAATTGTTAAACATATACTACGAATATGTTAAAATCATGGTTGCAATAGGCGCTAGGCACTAGTCGGGCGGTAGAGTAGCGCCTAGCGCCTAGACGGCCTAGGCGGGGTCTAAGCGGCTAGGCGGTCGCCTATGCGGCTAACTGAAAAAATGAAAAACAGTGCACGTGTGTAGGTGCATATATGTCATATCACACACACACACACACACACACACATATATATATATATATATATATGTATATATATATATATGTATATATATATATATATATATGAATGAAAAAAAATAACCAAGGTCGAGTCGGCGGGTTAACTCGGCTAACTCGACAGAAATTGACGAGTTAACTCGGCGTAATCGGTCGAGTTAGGCGCTAGATGGCCGAATTAGGCGCCTAGGCGGCCGGTCTCCTAGGCGGGAGCCTAGGGGGGAAATCGCCACGGCCTAGGGGCGCCTAGCGCCTAGGCGTCGATTACTCGGTGCCTAGGCGGGATTTTTGCAACCCTGGTTAAAATGTATTAAAAAATAAAATATAAAATTTAACATAAACTTTGGTCAAATAATTAGCCCGACTAAATACATAGCATTCAATGATTATAAATCAGGAACTTTGATAATCATTTGATTTTCTTTCATTAAAAAAATAATAAATTTAAGTTCAATTTTTTTTTTTCGTTTAATTAATCTTCTTTTGATTATTGAGAACAAAACTTAATATTTCAATTATGCTTTTATCAATGCATGAAAACTTCTAAAGAAATTTGTAAGTTAATTTTTACTATACTATTATAACAATATCTATTGTAACCTTATATTTTGAATTATTTATTATTATCATCTATTGACAGCAATTGTCATTGACAAACTCTCAAAACAATTTGTCTCAACAACGAATGGAAATTTAAAAAAAAAAAATCAATGATTTCATTATTGTGGATGAAAAGTATGTACGCCACTTTATTCAATCGTTATGCCGTGGAACTGTGTCCACCTTGCAATGTGGACATAGTTCTATGTTCATAATTACTGAACTATATGTTCATAATTATAAAGCTATATATTCATAATTTTTTAATTTCATATTCATAATTATTGAACTCTATATTCACAATTACGGAACCCTATGTTCATAATTATTGAACTATATGTTCATAATTATATAGCTATATATTCATAATTTTTTAATTTCATATTCGCAATTATTGAATCTCTATATTCATAATTACAGAACTATATGTTCATAATTATGTTCACAACTTTATGTTCATAATTTTTGAACTATATATTCATAATTATGAACAATTTTGGAACCGTGTCCACCTTTGTCCACCTTGCAAGGTGGACACGGTTCCACATCATAATTTTCCCACTTTATTGCTCTTATTACTTAAATTAAAAAATAAATTAGTAGCTACAACAAAAAATAATATATATGCATTTAATTAATTTAGAATTAGATGTCTCACAACACATGAAACATGTAGGGAAAACTACCACTACCAAATATCAACATGTGCTTGTAAGATAAAGAGTTCATAGCACAACTAAGATCTTAGTCATATACACAACAAGACAAATCTAAAACTTCATACACCATAATCTCATTGCATGATGAATCCCTCCATGATACTACCAATAAACCAATTGCATATGACACACTACCAATAACAAACAAAAAAAAAAAAAAAAACATGTACTGAAAATTGAAACAATAACAATGCTACCTAAAAGAGAATTAGAAACATTTAAACCAAAAATAGTATTTATTTAGACTATCGTTTTTAGACTTAGTACTTAGATTAACGTTATTACAAAGTTGAAAACATTTATTAATCAATCTCTCATATATTATCTTGCATTTATATACTTTAAATTATCGATTTAAATAAACAAATTCAACATTTATTTACCTATGCATGAACATCTTCTATATAATATTGCGCTGATATACTTTGAAATACTTATTTAAAAGTGAGTATTGGGCATTATCCTATTCGCGCAAAGCGCGTAGAAAAACTAGTAATACTAATAATTGCGGTGAAAGTTGCGGATAAAGGAGAAGAGAAAATGGTTTTAATTGGGAATGATAAATTATGTCATTTCTTTAAAATAATAAGGATAAAAATGGAAAAAAAAAAGTTAGGAAGGTAGGAGCTTATTTTGAAACGCTACCTAAGGTAGCGTTCCAAAATAAACTCTTATTTTAAACTAGGAGCTTATTTTGGAAATATTAACAAACAGAGCTTATAGCTTATTAGTAGTTTAAAATAAGCGATAAGCTCTACCAAACAGAGCTTTAGTGAGAAAAATTCAAACTTTTGTGTTTAGTAAGAATTATACTCAATTATAGTAACTCTAAAATAATTCAATTTTCTTGATTTATGTATTTTTGGTAGTTATAATATTTGAACATGTTTTTATATATGTAAAATTTTTTTTAATACTTTAATTTTTAATTTTTAGTTGTATAAGTAGACTTTTTTGATACATTAAGTTCTTTAAAAAATAATGTCATGTTGTAATTTTTAAATAATTGTTGGGCAAACTAAATAAAATCGAGTTAATTTTTCTTAAATTGAAAATTATAAATGTTACAAAATATAAATATTTGATATAAATTTCTCAATTTTAAAGGTATTAATATAATTGTTATACATGATTCAATATAATTGTCACAAAATACAAAAGTTAAAATTTTTTTTTATTAAGTTTTAAAAGTTTAGATAAAATTGTCATACGACATAAAAGTTGAGATTTTTTAGAATTTACGTAAGCATCAAAACGCTATGTGTTAATCTAATCAGCATTACCTTAGCGGAAAATCCAATCAACGGAAAACATTTTTCGTTGATTGGAAAAAATGTAAGCATTTTGGCGGAAAATGACTTCTGTCAAGTTGCCAAAAAACATGATTTCATCTGGTAACTGTGGAAATCAGAGAGTTCCTCTTGTAACCAGTCTGGTTTTCGGCTGCAGAAACCAGAGAGTTCCTATGGTTTTTGTTTTATATTTTTTAAATATAAAAAAATATTTGTTTTTTATATTTTTATATAAAAAAAACAGTGTGTTTTATATATATTTAAATTTTATTTGTTTTTATAGATAGATAGAAAAAAAATGATTTTTTTTGAATAATATAATACTTAAAATGTTGAAATATACAATTCTACTTATTTTCTTGTTCATTTTAAAAAAAAAAACGAACCAATCACCCAAAAACAATTTTTCGTTATACATCCAAACAATAGAAAGAAACATATTTTCTGAACAACGACTCATTTTCTAGAAGTCATTTACAAGTGTTTAAACAGTTCCTAAGAAACGTAATTTTATTATTCGAATTTGACTCTTTTTTCTCCGTCCATTTCTGACCTTCCATGCATGCTTCTCCGCTGGCGGGCGCATAGATGACTTAGATGTGGATGTAGCTTTCAAAGAGTAATGCGAGCATGCGAGCCTTCTAGAATTATTGAATGGAAGAAAATAACACACAAACTATGAGAATGGAAGAAAATAACACAAACTATGAGAATGGAAGAAAATAACACACAATACCACATTTTTAAGAGACTAACTAGCAATTTTCATAAAATTGAAAAACATTTATTATTATTACTCCTATCTCATTTTACCTATCATGTATACTAGTCAAACAAACTCTTTATTCTTTACTTTTTTTTTTTTAATATTTTTAAATTTAATTTTTTGTGTTTTAGAGTACTTTTAATGTAATTTCTAAATATATAAATTTTATATACTAACATTAAACTCAATATTATGAAAATTGAATTCAAAATAACTTCAGTTAAACATCGTTAACCGAACTATACATATAAAATATAATAAATGAAATATTATTTTTCCTATGAAATTAAAAATAGAACTCCTCCCTACCCTTACTACCACGGCACACCTACCTACCTCACAATTATATTTATTTTTTTCATACAAAAGAAAGAACTTATAAATATCTAGGCCATTTTGAGCCAATAAGGTTATCATAAAGAGATGCAATTATAAATCATTCAGAAGAACATTACGGAAATAAGGGGAAGAGAAAAGAATAATAGTTACCTATTATCCAATCTCCACATTTATGGATTTCCATGTGAATATGATTAATCAAAGTCATTCTTCATTGAGATATTGGATATTAAAATTTCACAAATACTAACTTCAAAGTAAAAAAGTTATATATTCCGCTCAATATCTAAAAATATTTTATATATTTGGTCTAAAAAAATTACTCCGTATTTATATTATCTAAATTAAATCTTGAAATCACCCCACCAAAAAAAAAAATAAAAAATTAAAACTTGAAATCTAAATTGATTTTTAGATCTTGGATGAACTTAGTACATTATAAATTCAAATATTTTTAGTTATGCTATATTTGGATATAAATTTAATCCAGATATCAAATGTTAGGCAAAAACTTGTGTGAGACTGTCTCACGGATCTCAATCCGTGAGACGGGTCGGATCTTTGATTGATATTGTTAAAGATTTGACCCATTAATCAAATATTCGACTCGTCTTCATGAGACGGTCTCACACAAGTGTTACCCCGTTAAAATTTTACATATGCTACACTTGAAAGTAAAAAATTATTGTATATATTTCACTCAAACTAAACATATTCAAAAATATTTTAAATTTAGATATTTAAAAATCACTCAAATTTTAAAATTATGTTATTTTTATTACGTTATAGCCACCCATGGCCCCATAGATCTTTAAAAATCACCATAGTTTCAGCAGGTGGCATCTTTGAACTTGGATTTTTCAGCCCAGGAAATTCCAAGAATCGATATGTTGGCATTTGGTACAGCAATATACCAACCAAGGATGCAGTATGGGTTGCTAACAGAGAAACTCCACTAAACAACACTTCTGGCAAGCTAATGATCAAAGACAATGGAATCCTAGCTAGTACTCCTAGATGGTAGCAACCAAGAAATCTGGTCATCAATTTCATCAAAATCTTTGAAAAATCAGTGGCTACATGTCACCCGAGTACGCGGTTAATGGCAACTTCTCGGTAAAATCTGATGTTTTTAATCTTGGAGTGATTTTACTAGTACTCATTAGTGGAAGAAAGAACAAGACATTTCATCATTTAGATCATCACCATAATCTTCTAGGCCATAATCTTCTACAAATGAGGAAATATGCAGCTTTGAAATTGCAAACATGACATTTAGCACTCTTGAAGCTAGATGAAAACAACATAACTTATTGTCTCTCTCTACAACATATGACATGGCATCTTTGCCCAATATAGTGCAACTTTTTTCAATTAGTCTCTACTCACCCCCCTCTACCCTAGTATTTAAATGATTTTTCAAACCAAACTTAAGATTTCTCCTTATCTCATCATTCAAACAAAACAATATTAGGTAAACCCCAAAGTGCATAATATATTTTGCTTGAGAATAAAAGGCAAATTTTCAATCATTATTCTATGGACCATGGTCCACAAAAAAAAAAAAAATATATGTTATTTGTGTACATAATTGTATGCCAAGTTCAGCTGACACCTCAAACCCTCTCTTTTAGGGAGAAGATCTCAGGGAAAGAAAAATCAATGAAAATGAATCTAACATCTCATTTTTGAGAGGAAAAAAAAAAACATAATTATTCATGTACACACAAGAAATATAATAATGTTGATTTTCTATCTAGCTTGAAGAATGCTGCAGAACGTCATGGTCGCAATTTCAGAGCAGCATATTTCCTCATTTATCGGAGATGCTGGAATTGAATTCGTTTCTAAGAAGAAGCCTGGCTCTTTAGGCTGAGGTAAACCAACTTCCTCGTTCTCTAACATGAAAACTACCGACGCCATTGTTGGTCTGTCTTCTGGTAATTTGGAAACACAGAGAAGAGCTACTTGAATGCACTTTAGTACTTCACATTCCACATACGATGATTCTGTTAGACAATTATCCATTATATCTAGTGGGTTGCCTTCTTTCCACATAACCCATGCCTGCATAAATATATATATATATATATATATATATATATATATATATATATATATATATATATATATATATATATATATATATATATATATATATATAATCATCAAACTAGTTACTTAATTGTGTTTTATTTAACACAGGTAGGTAGGTTAGTGAAAATGATATATACTTACATGACCAAGAAGATTGTGATGATGCTCTAAATGATGAAACGCCCTGTTCTTTCTTCCGCTAATCAGTTCTAATAAAACCACTCCCAAGCTGAAAACATCAGATTTTACTGAAAATTTGCCATCGATAGCATACTCGGGTGACATGTAACCGCTGCATCCGAATTAAAAATCTATCAGCTCCAACTAAAGTTATTGATTTGAGTTAATTAATGTTTTGGTGGGTGATAAAACTTACTATGTCCCGATGACTCGCTTTGTTTTTGCTAGAGCATCATCTTCTCCAACAATTCTAGCAAGGCCAAAGTCGGAAATCTTGGGATTCAATTCCGCGTCCAGTAATATGTTGCTTGCCTTTAGATCTCGATGTATTATTTTGAACCTCGAGTCCTGGTGTAGATAAAGAAGTCCACGTGATATTCCCACAGCAATTTCGAAGC